GGCCCCTCCCTCTGGCTGACAACTAATTAAGTCCAATTAGCTTTACATAGATAGATAGATAGATAGATAGATAGATAGATAGATAGATAGATAGATAGATAGATAGATAGATAGATAGATAGATAGATACCTGATTTAAGTCTTCGTCGTTCAGCAGGTGGGATTCTCTTGGTTTGAAGCAATTTTGACATTTACTTTTGTTGAAAATGTTGGCTTGAAATTTGCGGCAGGCGTTTTCTTTCAGTGACATGTTGGTCAGTGGAATGGGGGAAAGTTCTTAGAACAAAACAAATATATAATAATAAATAAATAAAAGCAGCCCCTGTTTGAGAAGACAGTCCTCGAAAGTACGCAGGGAGATTTCGGCTTCCCACGAACAGGCTCCACAGAGAGACGGCGTGGAGTCCATGAACAGGGTCACAATGCGTGGGTTCACCTGCGCTGCGTGACCTGAGGCTCCGTTAAGTGGTGTCAATGATGGTCATGGTGAGCGCAGCTAAAGCCGAGCTGCTAACTTTCTCTCCTCCGCTAAAAAAGTTGCCCAATCAGCCGTTTGAAACGCAAAGTGCGGGGTTGTGTCTCAAATGAGTCCCGCGGCGAAGTGACGACGCTTCACAGGAGACGCTCCGGGCCTCCAGCTCGCTGCAAACGTCCCGTCCGCCTCCATCGGCTGTAGCGCCACAACCGAAGAGAAAAGCAGGGGGGGGTCCACTTCTTTGGCCCCTATCTCTCCGTCTTGGACATCAAATAAGTCCCATCGTCGTTAAATCTCCTCTAACGTCTGTCTTCACAATCAAACATTACTAAAACTACTTTAAACCCGCCATCCAGGGAGCTGTCACGCGGCTGGATCCATTCCCACGGGCTTTTTAAACAGCTATGCTGCGCAATCTGCGGTCGATGTTTTCGTGAAAATCCTCGTTCTGGCCAAACAGCCAGTCCGTGAAGAGGAGGGGGCGGGCTATCGGAGAGAGTGGAACGCTGAGTGACACATTCCTCAACCAATCAGATCGCGAACACGCTTCAGCTGTCCAATGGGAAACATCCGAAAGCAGCGCATCTTCTATTCATCAAAGGTGGGCTTTAAAGAGCCCACGATAGCAAAACTAACTTCCTCTGCACACTGGGAAAAATATTTAGAAACAAAATTTTTATTTAGAATATCCGATTACCATCATTTGAATAATATTTCTTAAACGATGGTAATTACATTTTAAATTAAATAATTGTTATGTTTATTAGTTTTACTTTATAATAATTTATTTATTTATTTTAGACCATTGTTATGTTTATTATATTTACTAATAATTATTTATTATTATAATTATTTTTAGACCATGTATCAGAATCTTGATAATTTTGATTATGAAATCATATATTAATATTATTTATAAGATCTAATTTTGTAATAATGATCATATATTTTTTTCCATGTTTTATTTTCTTGCTATGCTGACACTATCCTTTACAGCCAAGATAAACCCATGATCCTTTGGGCCTGAAGTGTGTGTCCCTTTGGGAATATGTGTTTTTCTCCTAGGAGGGTCATTTTCTGGATCCCTTGGATATTTATGATGCCTGGGATCTTCTGGGTAATTTTTTTTCCAGACCTATTTATGACCTATTGCTTCTACTATTACCACTGGCACTGATTTAGTCCTGATGTTCATCACTCTACTAACTTCAATTTCAGGATATTTAACCTTAAATACTTCTTATGTCATTTTTACAGAGTTGTTTCTTTTGCATACTGTTGTTACATTAGTTAACAAATCTTGTCTATCTTAATGTTGATGGAAATGTGTGTTTTGTTGGTTCTGATGTCTTTTTCTTTCTGTATTGTAATGTCCAAAAACAATGGTGACATCATGTGACTGTGTGACTGTGGCTAATGTTTGTATAATCTGTGCAGATTTTTAAGTGTAAATATGGTACTACCTTATACTAATTTACGCTAATTAACCCTTTAATTAGTAGAAGTAGTGTTCATAACAATTATTAAAAACAGCTGCTGGCCACACCCTGATATTATATTTTTAAAGTCAATAAGGAAAAATAATGATCTAAATATAAATCCTGATTAGGAAAAATATACTCCTGGACAATTTTTTAAAATTCACTTTTAAAATCAACGTTTTTGAAACCAATGTTGCTCAAATATAACAAATTTATGGATAATATTAGAGAGATTAAGATAGTTACAGAGTACTTAGAATTAATATTACCATCTTGTGCTTTTCTTCAGCTACTGGCTTCTTCCAGAGTTTACCTTAATGTAGTTTCCTTTTAGGACAGAAAACCTTGCAACAAAAGAAAAAAGAAGAAAAGAAAAAAGGAAAATAACATTGATGGCTTTAAGACTTTTCATTTAAGGCTGTAGAGCGCCATCTGTTGCTGATGCTTTGAGTCAAGGTGCTATTAAACAAAATCTAACAATTTATTCCTGTTTCATTTTTAGTGGAGGTGGTGTCTGAATGAAATGTCACTAAGCGAACAAATGATTTCAAAGAAGTATAAACACTGCAGAAAAATGAAATCCAAGTAATTTTCTTCTTAAAATAAGTGCATCTTTCTTAAATTCAGCAGGTAAGTGAGACACTTTGCAAATTGAATAAGACAATTTACATTTAAAATACGACAAAAACAACTAAAGTCTCTCATTTCAAGTGCATAATATCTAAATATCTTATATCAAGGCTAAAAGTACTCCCTCAATTGGCAGATCATCTTATTTAACTAATTAAATTAAGGGTAAATACATTTATCTTATGAAAACTTTACTCATTTCCAAGGTAGGTAGGAAACAGGTTCCTGTTTCGAGCATTTTTATGATGTGTGCATTTCATCTCAATGCGATTGTTAGATAAAAAGCTCAATTTTCTAAAGATAGAAATGTTTGCTTTATTCATAATCCCTTTGAAAACCAATAAACCTATATGACTGATAAGGAAGATTTTATTACTGTGTCAAAGAAGCAGTAATGTTCAGATACATACGTGGTAAAACAATGAAATACAAACATCTTCAACAAAATTCAGAAATCTTATTTGTATTAAAAAAACATTTCAGGGATAACGTATTCACACAATCCCTCTAGATAATTTCACATCCATGTCTATGCATTTCGCTGCAAGCCACAAAAAAAAGCAATGAACAATAAAAACAAAAGAAAAACAGTCAGTTGTTCAGTGAAATACTGAAACTGCAGTATTTATCTTAGTTCTCCGTGGATCATTTTACTGCTTAACTTATATGATTTTTTTGTGTTTGCAATGATGTCACTGAACATACGTCAGTGTTTGCACATAAATTAAGAGAATACATAAAACGAGTAACTAAAATAAAATTAAAAACAATAAAACATTTGAGATTGCTTGCAAAAGGCCATTAGGATCACCTGAACAACATTTGTGTTCAGGAGGAACTGTCTTCAGGAAAACTTCAGCCACAAATATAATACAAAGGTTTTAAGGATAAATGCTAAAACTTTTTGGCCTAAACTACAGGTAATCTCTACAAATATCTAAAAAACTGTCCTGCAATGATTCAAACATAGTAAGTGGTTGCATTACAAGCTAAAATTTACCCTTCAAAAGCTGTAAATGACTAAAAATGTTTGCTTGGAAAGTTAAAATCTTCTCTTTTTTACTAATGAAAATGTCTGTTATACCAGATTTAAAAAAAACCCAACATAAAGTCAACTTGAACACCCAGAAATACAAATATTGTTTGTCATTATGTGTGTTTTTTTTTAGCTATTTATAAAGCATTTAACTAATATCCATAATCAATAAACCTAAACAGTTAATAAACCTGTTAATATTAAAACAGGAAACAACACAACTGCATTAGAGGGCCAGGAAGAATGTCATCAGTACAAAAAGAAGAGCTGCTTCACAGCTGATGTTCAATTTTTTCGAGTGTTGGTAGCTTGAATAACAAAATATCATCATATATATATATATATATATATATATATATATATATATATATATATATATATATATATATATATGAAGATATTTTGTTATTCAAGCTATATATATATCCTTTTTAATCTAATCTTTAATCTCACTGTAATGTGGTAACAGACTGTCAGTTTCAAACACTATTCAAAAAAGATCTGCCTTCTTCTTCATGTTGTTGCGTTTCCAAAGTGGAAGTCTGTCAAATTCTTGAATTTTCATCCCAAAGATTTCAGAGAATGACTCTGGAGACAGGTGGCGCTGTAAAAAAAGAAACAATACATTAAAAAAATTAGATCACAAGAACATATATTTATACAATTATTCTTCATCACACTGTTTTCAAACACAACATTAGATTGAATCTTAATTTTTCAAAGAAAACTTTAATGTTATGTCTTTCCACCATTTGCAGCTACAGTAACTTCAGCTCTACCGGAAAGGCTGTCTACAATATTTAGGATTAGTTTATGTGGATTTTTCAACATTCTTCCAGGTGAGCATAAGAGAGGTCAGACATTGATGTTGGACAATATGGCCTTCCCCTCATTTTGTTTTCTGACTCACCTGGAAGATTCAGTTTTCAACTCTAAGTGTAGAAAATCCCAGTTCTTCTAAATCAAACATACTCATTTATGTTTTTTTCAACATAGCTTGTTACACTGTTTAAAAAGGAAGGGCCATCCGAACACATGGCTCCCACAAAGCAAAATATGGGAGAATGAAATTGATCAAGGTGTCATGATTTGTTGAAGGAGTGGGGGCTCGAAATTTGTTTTCTTTCAAAAATACTTAATTGACCCAAAAGGGAAATTAAAAACAGCCTGTGACAGACTGGCGACCTGTCCAGAGTGTGCCCATAAACTGCCGGAGATTGGCACATGCCCCATCACAACCCTGATGGATGAAAGGGAGAAGATGGATGGATGAAATTAATTATATGCTATTTTTTAAACTCCCATCTTTCTCAAAGAAAGATGTTAATAGCTATAAGTAGGCAGAGGAGGACAGCAGAGATCAGATTCTCCGCAACAGACCGATTGAAGATATGCAGCATCTTGCTGCAAACACTAAATGACCTAAACCTTCTCTAGAAGGTCAGTCTGCTCTGCTTCTTCTTCTTCTTCCTCCATCACTTCTTCTCCCATGATGTTAATATAATTTTTCTAATTCCAGTTTCTTCTGAAATCTTCAAACATCTCTCTTATTTTGTTGGACATTCAAGATCTAAAGTTTGTTTCTACACTATGCCTCAGAGCTCACTAGTTCCCTGTGCTCAGCCTGTTGTCCATCACTGATGCACCAAATGACTGCAAATACAGATGATTCTGCAGTCATTCATCTGCAAATTCACTTGCCTACGGTTTGTTCATCCAATTCTCTGATTAAAATAGCTCATGACTGTTGATCTGTTTAACATTTGGCCCACTGATGCCCAAAGGGATGGGTAAAAATCCAGAGGTTAATTTCTCCAGTATGAGATTAATAAAGTTCAGTTATTTAAAAATATATATATTATGAAGGTTACTCAAAGACTGTGTATAGAACATTGAATGTTCATCCCCAGATTGTCAGTGATTCATTGAACAAGAGGAAAAAAGAACAGATGGTGAAAAGAGTTATGCACACTTTCCCCAAAAAACCAAAATGCAAAAGAGGCGCATTAAAAGTATCCCAGACTCCATAAACCTATCCGGGTTTGATGTTGCACAAGATGTGTTCCATTTCTTCCCATTTAGACCCACAAAACATGTTTCTTTTAGTGCGTTTCGTGTCTTCAGTGATGGTTACACAGTAAACATGCAGCAATGACTCAATGGACGGAACATAATATCGTTTTACCTCGAGCCTTGTTCTGTCAACATCCTTGGGAAGCTTCACCCGACCTCTGTTTGTGACTTTTAGCAACTCATACGGGTAGACCTTGATGGAACAAAGAAGAGTTGAGGATTATTTATAAGGATAGTTTTTATTCATATCTCAACTTTTGTGTGACAAAGGGAATTATTTAAGCAATGATTTATGAAGCAGCAGCAGCACTGGCAGAAAGAAGGTTAAAGTTGATTGCATGCAAAACTACTAAAAGCCTCTAGTGTTATCGGAGATAGCAAAGCCATGGAGTCATGCCCATCTTTAGATTGTCAAAGGACTGTAAGAGATTTTAAGAAATATGATGATTCAGCTGTCCTATAAAACATGTTCAATTCTGTACACAACAGTTTTGCAGGTAACTGTAGAGATAAAAGAGTGAATTCAAAATACTTGCTTTAGGTTCCAATAAATTAGGCATAGACACTCCTCTTTCCGTTCGTGTTAGTGGGACTTGACCATCGCTGGTGAGCTACAGGATGAAGCAAACACATGCAGAGGGGAGGAGGAGGAGGCAAGCAGTCATTGGTTATACCACTAGATAGCTCTTTTACATATATATATTTGTTAATGATTCATGTCTAATCATTTTTACATCTTGGCCCTTTTCATATGATATATTTTCTGTCAATAGTTCGAATTTTTTATAATTACTTTTTTAATAAAAAGAGCAGAAGGGTTGATTGTTCAGATAAGAAAATAATTTAATGCACGCCATTAGCAGCATTACAACCCAATTGTGATTGCTAACCAGACCAAGAAATAAAAAAATTATAAAATAGTAGCATAAGGTTAAAAAGAAATGGATTTAGTAGCAATAAAAACAACAGTAAAAAAAGAATAAAGCCATATAAGAGCCATGGCGGGATCTGCAGTTGTAAAAAAATGTGTTAAATATAGAATAAATTATAGTTTTTGATAAAGAGCAGTAAGATAAAGGACCAAGTAGGCAAATAATGTGTCAGAAAAGTGAGTGTTAAGAGTAGAAAGTATGTTATAGACAATAGTTAGAGCTAGGATGTAGTAGTACTATTAATTACATTGCACTTACAAGTAGGGCGGGGTGGGGGAGTGCATGTCTGTATGGCAGAGAGATGGCGTTTTAATGGAGTGAGTGTGAGCATCAAAGTTAATTTAACAGTTTCACTGCTGCTGGAAAAAACCCAGCATTTTCTGTGACTTTTAGGCCAACTGAACTAGAAGTTCAGCTGAATCTTCCTCCCAGAACACACAGCTGCACACGGTGAGGGAGATTTGATGAGGAAAGCACCACCAGGACTTTTTGGAAATGAGATGGGCTGACATACCTTAAAGTCTGAAAGGAAAGGAGAAGAAAGGATCAACTGTTTAAAAAAATAGTAACTGAAAGGTTTGAGAGGTTAGAGTTACAAGCAATGTTGTGGGAAAGATAATACCTGCATACTTACTGAATCTTTCATGGCTGGTGTGGCAGTAATCAGCTGACTGAGGCTTAAAAAGCAGAAATACAAGAAAGGCATTTACAGGATGTAAAAAGTATATTGAGCTATTCTAGTTATTTAGACATAAATCAATAAAATATCTTTTGATTTGGGTTCATTTCAACTCTTAATGTTCATTATATTCAAAATGTTTGAACAGATCTTAAACGGCCACTCTCTCCTTTCCAAAGGCAGATCAGGAACAAGATGTTCTGTTCTCACCAAACTCAGGAAGTTGTGGTTGTATTCGGGAAAAGAGGCTGTTTGGGATGAGGAGGAATCTGGATCTGTGTGAAATTGAGAGAAATGAGCTCTGCATGAGACAACTTAGATTCAGGCTAAGATCATCGCCCAGAATAGATCCGACTTTCAAAGGAAATCAGTCTTTCTTAGCTTCTTCTAGTTCATACAGCTCATGAAAATACCGGCACCCTAAAAACAGATCACTCAATACAACCAATAAATGGGTTGAATTTTACCAACCTGATTGGTAGTTATTTGTCCTATGGTTAAAATAGCCAATCTATTTGGTATCATTTTTAACCAATATATATTTGTAAAAGGACAAACCAATAAAAATTGGTCACTTTGACCAAAATATTGATTAATTATTGTAATGCCACTGAAAGTCAGAATCAGGGCTTGAACCACCATTCCTAAAGTTTTAGATCAAACTCCTGCATCCTGCGCCGCTGTTGCTACTAATATTTCTAAGAATTTACTACTAATGTTAAAACCCAGGTTAAGGCCAGGACTTGCATGCTGTACTTGTACACATTGTTCTCTAGGTCCATAACTATTGCTTGATTACAGCCAAACAGTCAGAGTAGTTAACCATCTGTTGCCATTTTTATTGGTTGTTTGGTTAACCAATCAAATTTGTTGATCCAAAACCAATGGCTGGGTCAGTTTGGTTGATCTAACAAAAATAGGTTTAATCACTAGATTACTTGTTTTTCCAACAAATCAATTTTTAGAGTGTGTATTTATATTCAGATTCATGACTACATCTATGGTAAAGATAACATCAGACAGATGGAATTTAAACTCTGACCTCTAATTGAGGTATATTTATTTGTTATTTAAAGCTAATAAATGACAAAGAATTAAGATTACCTTTTAAAGATTTGCTGTAAAATTAATGTAATTTAAGACATTCTGCTTCTGAAACAAATTTTAGCGTTTTACCAAACGCAGTAAGGCTCTGCAAAGCTTCTGGACGTCTCCATAACAACCATAAAATGCTGACTGCATGCAAGATGTCTGTTCGGGAGGTAGAGATTGAAAAATATTGTTGGACTTAAACTGAGAGCTTTAGTAGGATCAGCCACATCAGTTTGGGATGAAAATATTATATGGAAAAAATATATCTTGGCCACTATTATGAATGGTGAATGTTTTGTGGTCTCTTTTTCACTAAAGTCCCTGGGAATCCTTGTTAGAGTGCATGGCAACAAGAGCTCCATACAATAATAAAACATTTAAACACCCTGGAAACCTCAAGAAAAAGAAAAATATTATTTTATCCACTCTTTGCATTTAAGTAATCAACTTTTTTTTTTTTTTTACTGTTTTTGGCACAGTATTTTCAAACAGTTATTGTCTTTAAGGTTTACAACACACACAAATAGACAAAGCATTCAAATCTACACTTTAGATTCTACTTTAGATTATTTCTAGATTATACTTTACATACTTTGCATTTTTCAATATAAATTAGAGTTTTTATCACCGGCAGAAATGGATTCATAAAAAAGTTAAAAGATTATGATTTAAACCACTTTATACAACATTTTTTACAGGGACAAGTTTTGTTCATCAAAGCTCCTACATTTGAATTTTCCCTGGAGTTAAATAAAAATCTGTTGGTCAGGAAACTAAACAGCATCATTGTGTGGAATTTCAAAATGAATAAATTTTGGCATTTGGCAGGCAGCAGCAGAGTTAGGAAATTTGGGGCCCTAGGCAGCTGCATAGTATTGCCTAATGGTTGGCAGGTTCAATTTAGAAAATGTTCATCAGAAACAAAATCAACTATTCTAGACCATCCCAGTCACTTAAATCCTAAAGAAAACATTTGGATGGCCTACAATACAATTGTAATAAAACGTATTTTATAATTTAAATATTTACATAAAGTAAAAAAAAAGGAGTTAAAAAGTCTGATAGCAGTATAATCCTGATATATATCAGCTTTTCTATTTTTCTATTTTCTATCTAATTGAGATTTTAAGAATTGTAAGTGTTTCAAAAGTCACATACAAAGGCTTAAAATCATAATTGAATACAATACCTTGCTGTTTATAAATGGGAGGCCTCCTGTAGAAATCGAAGCCTTCATCTGCTAAAAAGAAGGATGCAAAGTTAGTAGAAATTATTTCAAGGACGGCACCTCTTTGTGCTTCAAACAAACTCACAGTTCTTGCTTTACTATGTCTATTACTTCTGTTTTAAAGCTTGCTGGTGTTTTGTGTTAAAAAATGAGCAAAGATATAAAACGCTGTAGTATTTCAGGGAAAAGTTCAATCACGCAAAAGCAGATGATCTTCCTAACACCATGTTATCTCATTAATACCCTTCCCTTCCCTCTAATCAACGTGCTCACTATGGGAACCCGACGGTTTAAAGCAGTTTAACAGTGAGTGTTGGTTAGACAAACAGAAAACAGGACATAAAGATACAAACAGAGCTGCTAAAATAAACATAACCTAAGAAGGTGTAAATTCTTCTAAACTTTGACCACTAGATGGCTCTGTTTTAGCAAAACAAGAGTTTATCCTTGTTATATAGACATGGTTAATAAATCTCAATATTATTGAGAGGCTCATTTATTTCAATAATACAATATGCTAGATGAAACATATTATATAGATCTATTAATCACAGAATGGTACTTTAAAGCCTTTATTCCAGGTAATTATGATTGCTTTCTGCTTTAATGGATAGAAAAGTGGACAACAGCTAAAAAAAAAATGCTTGGAGGACTGGAGTCATTCACAGGGGCCATGTTGATAGTAGGTAACATAGAATTCCCTCCTTCGATGTGGAATAGGGGGTATAAAAGATTGGCTGACAAGGGTCTTTGTACAATCAACCAACTCTTTATAGGAATGGTACTCAAATCATTCTCCTAACTTCAAGAATAATTTGGCCTCCCATCAAATAATTTTATAGATATCTTCAGATAAGACATTATATCACAGGCCATAAAGAAAGAGATTTGGTCAGAAAAAATCCAAATGAAATAGAGGAATACCTCATCAGCATTATAGAGAAGCATTTCCCAACAAAAAAAAAAAAAAAACTAATATATACAACCTTTTGTATATATTAGATATATACAAAAGGTTGGCACCTTACAAAACACAAACATTACTAAGGAAAAATGGAAATTAGAATTAAATGTTATAATTGAAGATTCTACATGGGTGGACATATGTATCGGCTCTCATAGGGGAATTAGCTGCCAATTATGGAAAGAGTTTGATTGGAAAGTGAAGATCAGAGACTTTAATACTCCGTTTATCATTTCCTCATTCGTGAAAAATCCCAGTTTAGCATTATGTTGGCGAAATTGTGGAAATATTAGAGACACCTCACACATTTTTTGGGATTGTCCAGTAATACGAGGTTTTTGGGAAAATATTAAGAAGGAAATAGAGGAAATATTGAAATTATATGTGACTCCAGAACCTGTGGTGTTTTTATTGGGAGCCATACCTAAAAGCAGATATAATGCAGATCAGAGATACTGAGGGTTCTTTTACTGGTAGCAAAGAAATGATTACTTTGCACTGGAGCGATGCAAAACCACCAACTATATGTCAATGGGTCCAGAGATTGAAACATGTTTATATAATAGAGAGAATGACTGCAAGCCTGCAGCTTATTATGGACACTTTTGTACAAAGATGGACTTGTATTTTATAATATCAGGGTAACTGATGGAGAGGAAAATGGGATGAGATACTAGAGGAAGGAGAAGTCTAATGGAATTCCACTATGGGAAGAGTTGCTTGGTCACAGATTACAGATTGTGGATGGCGTCTGCTCTGCCTGCTGTCATAATTGTGAAGATTTTTGGTATTTTGTGTTTGTCGTGATGTTTACTCCTTGAGTTTGTTTCAGGAGATATTATGTAAAATTACTATAATGGTTGAATAAAAGCTATTGGTGAGCTATTGTTATGCCTAAACAGGGAAAATCAAGATAAACTCCAAAATAAACGCTGAAAACTGGGATTTACCAACATAAAGAAAGACATTTAGGATTAGAATCTTACATCAGGCAAATAGAAGAATTCTTTAGATTTAGAAATTTAGGGCTTATAAAAACAGGTTTAAAACCTGCTTAAATGTCATTACTAAATCTAATTTTAACTTTTTTTATACTTAATAATATTTGCTTTTACTTTCTTACTCTTATTTTCTGATTTTATATCAATATTCCATTTTATTTCTATTGTATTCAAACAAATAAGCCTCGCTGCAGTGAATATGAATAATACTAAAAGATTGATTTCTGATAAACATTTTGTTTTCTTCTGAATCCTTTTTCAAGGCACTGCAGAAACTTTGAAGAAAGGGGGAAGGAAAACTGTTTGGCGAGAAGGAGAGAAGCCTTACCTTCTGTTTTAGAGAAAGAGTGGTGGCTTAAAGGAGAAGCAGTGCAGGTGACATTTTTGTTTCCATGAAGCAAAGAAGTAGAACCTTGTTATTGACAAAGATTAAGGGAGTAGGAAAGTGTTAAGGAAGAAGAACACATTTTGGGAAGGAAATGTGATAAAACAGAAAAAAGAAGGGTAAGGATCTGTTCAATAACACTGTGATTTTTCACAGAATATCTCAACGCTCTTTTTCACCTGGTCGGTGGAAGTGTTTGGGTGAACTGGATAGACTGGGACTGTAGCTGTGTCGGTAACATATGGTTTGACCTCCAAAAGATCCATGGCTGGAAGATTTTGGTACGCATGGTCTAATTTCAATACTCTCCTGGAATAATGGAAAAAAAAGACAAGAGATGAGAAACATGCAGATGAAGTCCTACTTGGGTTGTTACCTGGACATCCTGAATGAGGCCAGTTAATATTTTATACCTCAGTGGCTTCAGACATTTTTCCTGGTGACTGAAGAAGACAAAAAAAGATGGGAAAAGCAATTATTGACCTGCATATTTTAATACTGCACAAGAAGGCGCCAAAACAAACTATATCTTAAGGTAGACCAGCTTTTCATCTAAAAAAAACACATCTAAATGTTCATCTATTTATTAGTCATACAAGGATCAATCAGTCTGAACTTCATTATGTTTACACAAAATTATAAAAGTCAACAAAAGGATCAGTCAAACTCTTCTAAGATATTATCATTTGAAACTTATTCTGTTTTGTGAATTTTAAAATACAATAATCGCGATACAACTTACAGAACTTAGGATAACAGGATAATCAAACACTAATGCTCCAAATTTCACTTAAACCTACAAAGACTTGCATAAGTATTCATATCCCTGACCTTTGCTACTTTTGCCAAATTACCGTCACAATATATTTTGGCTGGAATTTATCCAATAGGCCTTCCCAAGGTACAGCGGAAGAAAAGGAATACATGGTTTTCACTCTTTTTATAAATAAAAATCTGAAATAGTGTGGTATACATTGTATTGATCTTGGCACTAATGACTGGTTTAACGGTTCATTCTATGGCATGCTGTGGGAAATCATCCGGCTCGATTCCACTCCTTCTGGGCTCGGACTGAACTTTATAACCAGGTTAGTGACTCACACGCTCATAATCGTCCTCTGTCAGATTTACGTGGTCACTAACCTGAGTTTTCCCCTCTACAGAGATTCCGGCCTTTTTTTCGCAGATTTGATGTATTGTCAATAAACGCCATTCTAAATCACATCAGTCTTTCTGCCTGAAACTCTGGGTCCAAAGTTCTGAGTTCTGACCTACATGTTGTATTAAGTCTCTTTATGCGGAAAGCCCTAAATGAAATATAGTGCAGCTAACTTTCTACAAAAGTCACATAACTGCTAAAGTTAGTCGACCTGTATTAAGTTTACATCTGAGTATGAACCCCCGTCGGCCTCGGCAGATGGCCGCTCACACTGAGGCTGGTTCTGCTGGAGGTTTCTTCCTGTTAAAAGGGAGTTTTTTCCTCTCCACTGTCGCTACAAGCATGCTTAGTGTGAGGGATTGCCTTCGAGTCAATGAGTCGATGCAATCACTGGTTTTCCTTGGAAAACTTTGAATCAATTGGACTGGATGATCTGGTAAACTATAAAGTGCCTTGAGATGACAGTTGTTAAGTTAAATTGGCTCTATATAAATAAACTGAATTAAATTGAAAAATGCAGTTGTTCTGTTTTAGGCCTTAGAGATTTGTTAGAGCATACAGCATCATAAAGAGCAATGAGAACAGCAGTCAGTTCAGGGAGGATTTTTTGAAGAAGTTTAAAGCACAGTTAGGCTCTAAGATATTATTATGAACATTGAACATTACAGAGCTTTATTTAAACCAGAATATGAATATGAAGAATGAATCAACTGCAGATCTACTAAGACATGGGTGTCAACCTGATACGACAGTCAGGGAAGAAGCTTGCATTTTTATCTTGGTTTGTAGGAACAATCACAGAATGCTAAGGATCAATCATCCAAGAGGTTATTCATTTCTGATTTAAACAAATCATTTAAAAACTTTTAATTTACCTCCTTGGATTTGCATTATGAATTGGTTTGAGCGCTTTGCAAACTCTTCAAGACAAACTTTGTTTCTCAAAGCAAATAAATGAGGCTGAGCTGTGATATCGCTGCATCATTTCATTGAGTATGGTTTTTGACCATTTTTATTTGTTTTTCTTTGTAAACAAAATAACTTAGTAGCTGAGTTTCACTACTGAGCTTGAAAGATTTTAACAACAAAATGTTTTCTTTGGAGTTGGATGAGTTTTGTTAATTATTATACATTATATTATTTATATTATTATATTATATTTCCGTGGTGAATTTATTCCATATACCATCTGTGCAGAATTACTTGTTTTTCTATGATTTAAGCATAAGTCATTTATTATCCTAAAACACAGCCAGTTGGGGGCGTGTTCACAGAGCAACCCATGACAGTCTGAAAGTTATCTAATTAAATAACACGATCCCATCTCCATCTGAGGAAGGACTGTAGCATCACCATGCTGTGGGGAATGGTGCTGCACAGAGCAGTTAGAGGATGCATAAGATTCTAGACTTTCTAAGTGTCTCTCCTTCCATCAGAACTAAGACCCTGAACTACAAAAGGATTTTAGAGTGGCCTAGTCAAAGTCCAGACATGAATTCAGTTTAGAATTTATTTTTACAGACACATCTATTTGACATTCAGTTGCTATAAAAAGAGGAATGTCACAAAAATGTCAGTGTCTACATATGAAGGGCTTTTGAAGATATCCCATAAACGCTTGCAGCAATAAACTTTAGGCTGTTTTTATCAGTGGTGAAAACCATACATCACTTTCCTTACTCTTTACAGTTATTCTCTACATTGAGAAGATCCATCACATAAAATCCCAGTTAAACGACCCTTTTCACTGCTTTTTACTTTGAGCATTGGAAGGAGTTACCTCTGTCAGGCTTCTTCTGTTCTGTGTGTTTCCTTTGTCGTCCAAAGCAGAGGAGTTGACGTTTACAGACTTATAGGATATCATGTCTGGATGCTCTATATCGTATATAGCCTTGACTCTGGGAATTGCAGCTAAGTCTCTGTAATCAATGATCTCATTATCTACTTTTGCCTAGAAGGGGAGGGGAGAGGGAGACACACACACACACAGGGCAGGAGACAGAAGCAGCACACAGTGGAGGTTAGGTTGAGGGGACAGATTGAACGGTTTACATCTCAGCAGGGAGGAATCAAGCTTTAGTCCCAAAGCACCATGATTCTCCTGACTTTGGCACATGAGGTAGCCTGATTCTTTACGTTATCTCACCTTCTTTCTGTTCACTTCTACGAATTATTTAACGACTTTGAAGATAAACAAAATGTTTGGCTTGTTAGGTGCTTTAATGGGAATAGAGTTTGTTCCATGCAATAAAAAAAAAAACAGATAACAAAAGGCTTACTGCTGGAAAAGACACTAAAGCACTTTTTTTTCCTTTTTAGCAGAGATCAAAACTCAGTCTCAGACTTTATTGAACAAATCAAAATTTGCTCAATATTTATTCTACTGATCAATAAACAAAGAAAATGTAAAAACCAGCTGAGTTCAACTGGAATCCCATTTTCTCAAACATGAAAGCTAGTTCCGATCAGTCAAGTTCGAGTAACTCTTAAAAAATCCGTAAGTAAGGAAACTGACTATAATACAGTTTCCATAAATGTCCTTTTATTTTGTTAAAAAGACACATCTTTGACAAGTGATTCGTCCAGGTGGCTCCCCTGTATGAATAAAAGTGCATAACTGAAACAAAACATGTAAAACAAGGAGAAGAGACAATGGATAGAGGTAGCATGAGAACTTACGCAGATGGTTCTGCCGGGGCTGCTGGGCGTGCACGAGCCCGGCCTGGAGCAGGAGCTTTCAGACGATGATCTGTTGGGCTGGAAAACAACAAACTGTCTTAACCTTCCTCAGTTTATCATGCATACAAGATTCAACATAGTGCTGTTTTTATGGGTTTATTAAGCGGAGAATGGGACCATCTACAAGTAATGCTCAGAAAATTAGAATATTGACAAAAGGTTTAGCAAATTTTAGAAAATTAAGTGGAAGGAAAATCATAAGGTAGGACCGGAATAGGAGTGAATTTGAGGTGATGACTTAGCTGACGAAAAATATGAAATATTTTCACTGAATTATAACTTTTTGAGCTGTAGTTGTATGTTAAAAAGGATTTTTAAAATATAAGTTCTACAAAAAGCTGGCACATGGCTAAGATTTGGGAGAATATGAATATGAAGAATAAATCAACTGCAGACCTACAAAGGCATGGATTTCAATTTGAATTGACAGTAAGGAAAGAAGCTGGCTTCTTTATCTTAATTATTCACCCAGGAACAATCAAAGAATGCTAAGAATCAATGATCTAAGAGGCTATTCATTTCTGATTCAAACAAATTATTTTTAAAAATGTTGGATTTACCTCCTTTGATTTACATTATGAATTAGTTTGAGCTCTTTGCAAACTCTTCAAGACAAACTTTGTTTTTCAATATAAATAAATGAGGCTGAATTGTGACATCACTGCCTTATTTCAATGAGTATGGTTTTTTTACCATTTTTATTTGTTCACTTTGCTGACAGAAAATTTGAAATATTTTCACTGAATTCAAATTTTTTGAGCTGTGTTTGTATGTTAAAAATGATTTTTTTTTAAATGCAAGTTTGACACTAAACATGGCTGAACATGGCTGTGATTTAAGAGAATTTGAGTATGAAGAATGAATCAACTGCAGACCTACTAAGACATGAATTTCCACCTGAACTGACAGAGAATTTGCAAATAAACAGAAAAGCATGCATAAAAAAAAGTATTTATATAAATACAAACTGATCTAACATTAGTTGATCATGCACAATCAAAAGCATTAGAACAAAGCATCTACTGTGCCTTTCAAAAGTTTCATTCAACTTGAGCTTTTCAATGCTTCTCAGGAGTTTATCTAACAGACCAACACAAAGTAAATGTATGGTTTTGGTGATAAGCAATGTAAGAGACACAATGAACTTGTGGATAAGGGTGCTCCTGTCAGATCCGACTAAAAATGAACTTTTTATCTCAAATTGAAAAGCTATTGAAGACGATCTTAAGATAACTAATATGGTTTAGATCAGAGCTGTCAAGAATGATTCCTCCATGGCCTGGTTCCTGCATGTTAGGTTTGGCCAAATTTGGTTATCAACCAGCTCCCAGCTACATTGATTCAGCCGTTTGATTCATGTGTGTTGGAGCAGATACATCGTTAAACGTACTGGACATTGGTCTTAGAGATCTAGGAGATGGACATCTCTAGCTTAGATCAGAGCATACCCATGTTGGAATGGTCGAGTCAAAGTCCAAATCTTAATCCAGGTCAGAATCTGTCCTGTTTTAACACATGATGTTAACTGGTGTATATGTGCAATATGTCAGGGTTTAAACTAGTTTCTGAGAAAACAAAGTTAAAACAGTTGCAACAAAACAATATTACAAACTATCGAATCAGGAGTCTGAACTTTAATATGGTTTCTCCTTTTCCTTCAGTTTTGCAATTATTCACTTTATGTTGGCCGATTACATAAGATCCAAAGAATTTGATCAAAGGTTTTGGTTGTAATGTGACCAAAAAGAAAAAGTTTAAAGAAGTTTTAATACTTTGGAAACACACTTAGGTTGCCAGGATAAGTGATGCAAGCAGCATTTTATTAGGTTTAATCATGAACTGTTATTTTCACACCCTTATGTTGACATATATCAGTGCAGGAACAAAAAACAGGCCACAATACGATGTTGACCTTTAATTCATTTGAGGGGAAAAAGAAATCAAGGCAAGGCGTCTTGGCTCTGTTGACCTGAAAAGGAGATGTAAAGAAGTGATGTGACGCTGCAAGGTCACACATTATGATGTGGAGGTTTAGCAGATCTCATGTAGATACTGTCTGATGAATGCAGCTTGTAAAACTAAGGTTTCTGACTATTTAATATATATATAAAGTGGGTAAACATGATGTTTCAGTCTTACTCTAAAGCTCTCCTCTGTTCTGCCGTTGTCTTTGCAGTACGGGTGCCACATTGTTGCACCTGTGAAGGTGTGGACACATAGAGGAGAGAAAAAAATATCCAGAATTACTTCCTTACTAAACATGATACAGAGTCAGTTAGAAAATCCCTACACTGACCTTGAACCAACATTTCTTCTCCCTCTGTAAACATTTTACCGCACCTGTAGCATCTCGCACAACCCGGGTGGTAATGTCTTTCACCAGCCTAGGAACAGAAAACAAGACAACAAAAAAGTATGTTGTCTAATACAGACAGGTGGGTAAATAAATGCAGTAATAGGTAAGAAGTGGATACCTAGGAAAAAGAACTGTAGGTCCATCAGTTAAAGAATTTAGAGATAATTCTTCTACACTGGAAAAAAATCGAAATCTAGATAAGTAATTTTTTCTTTAAAAAAAGGGCATTTGTTCTTGGATTGAGGAGGTAAAAGAGACATTTTTCCAGTGCAACAAGACCATTTACACTTAAAATATGAAAACACAATAGCATTGTCTTATTTCAAGTCCATTTGATCTAATTATCTATCTTATTTTAAGAATAAAAACACTCATTCCATTGGCAGATTGTCTCACTTACCTACTCAAATTAAGGGTAAATACACTTCATTTAAGAAAAATTAACTTATTTCTAGATCATTTTTCCAGTGTACAATTTTCTGTCCACTTTGTGCAAAGTACCAGAGTCATTGACACCCCCCCACCACCCCCACAAAAAAAAGAAGAGAAAAAAAACAACAACAATCCTCTGCACAATAGAGCCATCCAGGCGCTTTCATTCTTTATTTTAACATTTGAAAGCCTTAGGTTGGCTCATCCTTTTGTTTGATATCTGACAGCGATACTTTTGGTTTTCTTTCCAAACCTGGTGGGTTGAAACACCAGAACAACTTGTTGTTAAACACAGTTGTCACCAGGGAACCCTGCAACCATTCAGAAATGTTTTAAACCCAACATTCCTAATGTCTGTAAATCTGCAGTTCTCCATCTGAGCACCTCCCTTAAATCCTGAGGCTTCCCCTTGTTTTTTTGTTGTTTTTTTATATGTTAAGTTTCCTACGTGGACTAAAATATCGATGCCTCTCGTTTAATGAAAGAAAAACCCACAATAGTCACATAAATATCTTGAAAGTGATAAAAGTCAAAGTAAAAACAAAATTCTATAAAAATAAACAAATGCTTCAACAAACTATTAAAAAAATTTAACTGTGCTGTTTGGTTACATGGTGTATATCACACTCAACATGGATCAAGAGATTAGAAAGAAAAATATTGACAGGCATGTTAAAAGTAAAGACTATGAGACCTTCTCCAAGTAGCTTAATGTTCCTGTGACTACAGTTACATGTATTATTCAGAAATTTAGGATCCATGGGACTGTAGCCAACCTCCCTGGACGTGGCCACTGGACAAAATCAAAGACAAATCAAAGAAAGGGATAATATGAATGCTATCGAAAGAGCCCAGAAAAACTTCTAGAGATTAAAGGTGAACTCAAAGCTTTAGAAACATCGATGTAAGATCACACCATCCATTGTTGTTTGAGACAAAGTGGACTTAATGGAAGACGACAGAGGAGTTTATCATTGTTAAAAAAAAACAAATCATAAAGTCAGACTGGAAGATGCCAAACTACAAAGCTTCTAGGTGCACAGGAGACAAAAATGTAACTTTTTTCCAAGGCACATCAGCTCCATGTTCACAAATGGAAAAATTATGACTATCAAAAAAAGAACACTGCCCTGCTGTGAAACATGGAGTTGGCTCTGTTATGTTCTGGGGCTGCTTTGCTTCATCTGGCACTGGGTTACTTGAACCTCTACATGTTGCAATGAAATTTGAAGACAATAAAAGGGTCTCTAAAGATAAATGTGCTGCCCAGAGTCAGAAAGTTAGGTCATGGATCTTCAACATGGTAATGAACCAAAACCCCCAAGAATGGCTAAGAGGAAAACATTGGACTATTCTGAAGTGACCTCTATGATCCCTGACCTCAATCCTACTGAGCATCTTAGGAGCTAAATATGCCTCTTCAGACCTGAGATGGCTGGAGCATTTTGCTGATAAGGAATGGGCCAAAATACCTGCTGAGAGGAACAGGTCTCATTAACTGTCAAAGGAATTGCCTAAATGCAACAATTGCCTCTAAAAGTAGCATCATTTTTTTTTTTCATGCGTTTTGCTTTTTAAATTAATTCTATAAAAGCATGGTTCCTTTTCATAGAATTTCTATTTATTATACTTTTGTCAGATTTATGTTATTTTTGTGACCATTGTGGGTTTTTGGTTCATTAAAAGAGGGGTACCAGTACTTATAAGTATAAGCAGTACCCTGCATGAATAACATAAAATCCACTTTATTTTTGTTTTCAAAAATCTTTATATGTTGTGTAATTGTGTCACTTTGGGAAGGAATTTGTAAAAAAAAATCCAAATACATTGATAGCTAATACACTAATTAGCCTATTGAAGAAACAATACCATCAAGTGTTTTGATTGTTGGGCTTATTTGTGGGAGGTGTGGCTTTTTTTAAAACTACAAATTAGAAATGAGAGGAGACAATAGATGCTGCAACTGCTTTGAGCAAATTATGCTTCTGTTAATGTGGTGCAGAGCTTAACTTATAAGTGGAAGACTATCAAATAAAAAAAGGACTTAGCACAACAGAGACTTTTCTTACCTCAAGGACTTTTCCTGTAATGAACCTGTGACACACCTCGCATTTAACCCCAAACTGAGTCTGGTAGTCCCTCTCACAGTAAGGAAAGCCATCTCTGAAAGATAAACAATGTGTAAATTCAAACTGTGTAAATCCACATTCTCTTTGATGGTGTGTACTTACTTGTTGATGAACTCCCCACTCAGGATCCTCCCGCAAGCTTTGCATTTGAAGCAGCCAAGGTGCCACTGACCTCCAAGGGCTAACAGAGCCTGGCCGTTTTTGATGTCTCTGCCGCAGCCCGAACAATCTGAAAACCAAAAAGATTCACATTCATGAATAGAAATTAATAGATTTTTTTTTAAATCTATTTTTACTAACAATCTGCTTAATGTACAATCCAGCAGACAGATCATTTTAATATGGGGTTTCTGGACCTGGATCCTCATTTGATCTAAAATACTTCAGAAATACTTTAAATTACGTCTTGACATGTAGTCTTATGTCTTAACTACGTACATAAAGCAAGTATCTGTTTTTAGGCCCAGGGAGCTGGGTGTTAGCTCCAATAGGTTACTTTATTGAATATGTATGTATCTGCCCAGTAAAGTATTCACCCCCTCTGAACTTCTTCACATTTTGTTTTGTAACATAAAACCTAAGTATATTGTCTAAGCATCACTTACTTTTTACTTTTTCTTTCCAAAAAGCCCAGCAAACCACAGCATTTGTGTTTTACAGCCCAAAAACATATATACCATAGCATAATTCCTTTTTCACAGAGAATATGATGTGAACAAAGAGCATTGCTTCTGCTATGCATTTTAAATGTGATTTTCTTTTTTCTTTCACGTTTGCTCCATCCCCTCCAGGTGAAATCCAGATGTTTTGGTAGATCTCCAGCTGTGTCAACTTGAATAGCACTCAAAGGACCTATTCAAGTATTGAACTTTATTTTTCTAATTTACTTGGTTATTCAATTTCTTTGAGCAACAATATAAATCAGGGTTTACATTTAGATGTCAAAACATTTTAGTACAGCTAAAAAGGAGTAGATAGAAGTTTGAGAACTTACACAAATCTAACTCTAATTACAATATGCGGATCACATTGGACATATTTGCTCTTTTGAAAAAAAAAAGCACATTATCAGTAATACAAAGTGTCTTACTTTGAAGGCAGTTGTAAATATTGTCTTGTAATCTAACTCTAGTTTAAACTTTATACAAACTCACATCTGAGAACAGCTGTGTTCATATCAGGATGAAAGTACAGACAGATTAACCAAGTGGAGTGGCTGGGTGGGTTTTTAGTTCATTTTAGTGTATCAAAAATTAAGATGTCAAACTTTGTGTAATTTTTTTTTTTTTATATGTCAACCTCCCATTAGAATAATTTTCTTAGTTTATCGATCTGTCATATGAAAAATGTTTGGTTATATTGTGACCAAAGGGTTCAGACTACATGTCCCTCTTTTGATTAATGAATGCTTCCAAAGTCAACACTCCTAAATAAATGTTATTATTATTTCCCAAAATGATTTAACACTTTGTTTTCAATAGATGCAAGACTCTATTCTAATTAAAATATAGCATATTTATACTGAAATGTTAGGAAATGTTGAACTTGAACCTGCCCTGCTGGATGTGGGACTGGCCTGACTCAGAAGCATAGAGAGAAAGAAGGGGATTGAACAAAGATGGTTTACAAACCAAAGTTGATGAGTCCTCAATCTGTGTCCTAAGACTCTAGATCAAAGGTCACGGATTAGCGGACCACGGTCCGGATCCGGACCCACCTGCTGACTAATCCAGACCCAACCTGATTTAAAACATTTATAAATAACCGCATGTTGTCCAACAGTGTCTAATTTCACTTGCAACGTTTCGCCTATTTGTACGGTAAAGCCATCCAGAATATCCAGCACCAGGCTAAATGTGAATGTCAATTATCCAATGAGCTGAGTCAGTCTGGGTTGCTGCTGCTGCTACTTTTAGACACAGCAGGGAAACCTGTAGTAAGCCGGGCGATGGGAAAGAAGTAGAAGACGATGAGAAAAAGAGAGCAGAGAAAGTCTGGACTGCTGGAAGAACCGTGGTGAACTGGTGACAGAAAAGTGAAATGGCGTGCTCAAATATGACCCTGCAGATTTTGAGTATGTTTGGCTCAACCTGCTGCTGTGAAGCAGGATTCTCCTCCATGAACAGAATCAAAAATAAATATCCATCCAGGCTCAAAATGAGCACCTTGATATGTGCTTTAGAATGGCTTTGTAAAATATGTGAATCAGGAAATTATATACCGAACTGAGCAATTGTTGTTCTCTACTTAAAAACACACTTTAAATTTTAAAATCGATAAATGTTCTATTTTTTTTTTTTTTTTTTTTTAAAGTCTATGTATAACATGGATGCATAAACACCTAATTTTCTTTCAGTGCACTGCAAAAATAATCTAGAAATAGGTAAAGATTTCTTAAATTAAGTGTTTTTACTCTTAATTTGAGTAGGTAAGTAAGAGGATTTGTCAATGGAATGACTATTTTTATTCTTAAAATAAGATAATTAGATAAAACTCACTTGAAATAAAGACAATGCAATTTTTTTCTTATTTTAAATGTAAATTGTCTTGTTCCATTGGCAAAGTGTCTCACTTACCTCCTCAATTCAAGAAAAAATACACTTATTTTAAGAAAAATTGACTTATTAAGATTTAAATTTTTTTGCAGTATGTTAAATTCTGTTTAAAGTAACAGATTAATTAAAAATGTCTCCGGACCTTTACTGGTTGCTGATTTTCTTTATTTGGACTCCACTGATTTTTTATTTGTTATCCCTGCTCTAGATGATCATAGCTCACGATTAATTAATGAATGAATAGAAAATGTAAACATCCCTTTGAGAGACAGCTTAAGATAGATACTCACCACTGTGATGACGGATCTGATTAGAAGGTGACACGGGTTCGGTGCAGCGCTGGCAGAGGCAGTCTTTTCCCCTGAAGGTTACGTAGTCCCCTGCAGGGAAAGGCTGTCTAAGAAGGAGACAAGATAAACAGAGATAAGGCAAAACCTCTTAGTCTAAACCAGTCCTCTCAACCTCCAGACCCAGAGGGCCCGTGTCCTCAGACTTTTTAGATGTGTCTCTGCTTTAACACACCTGACTCAATATTAGCTCTTTAAACAGCTCTGTAGAGCTTAGCTGCAGGCTTGATTCGTGTGTGTAGGAGAAGAGACACAAGTTGCAGGACAAACAAAGGCCAACGCATTAAACCAACAGCTGACAGAATATTCTGAATTACTTGCATATGGTGCAAACAAAGCAGGCTGGGTGGTAGGACTTCCCCAGGACTGTGACCACCTCCCCTTCCACAAATTCCCCACAGGTGGTGCAGGGCGTGCCATAAAGGCGCTGGAAGTCCACCGGGCAGAGGCAGTCGCCGTTCCTCATGAAGAAGCCGCTCCGAGCCAAGTCGCAGCCACACACTAAGCAAAGCCACACATTCACACGCAAACAAGAAGACATCTTAGAAAAAAGAGAACCCACAAAAATCTGCACTGCATCACCATATTTTACTAATTAAATTATTTCTTAGAAACAAATAATTTCAGGAGCCTAAAAATGTGAAAATTGTGTTAGACATTGGATGCATCTAATATTTGAGCTTATCAGTTTTTATGTTTTTCATTTTATATCGCAGACTTTTTTATGTTAACATCTAAAAAAGGCTTTTAATTTTCCTGACATACATAAGATTATGTCATTCAAATGTTATAAAATTGAAAAAATCTCACTGCTACTTTCTATCCTTCTGAAGCTAATCATTCAGAAGGAATAGCAAGTTTAGAAATTATTAACTATTTTATAAAATTCTTTTAAATCTCAGATCTACAAAAAAAACACCACTTTTGAACTTCATGGATCCAGGAAGCTTTTTTTAATTCAAAATGTCCAATGACACTTTCAATTGAAAAAACTTCCTGGATGGGAAGCAAAACGTCTTCAAACATGGAAACAAAGTCCAGTGGATTGTTGTTTTTTTTTACTCTTTTTGGAGTCACTTTTAAAACTACCAGCTAACCACCAGTTATGCAAAGCTAGCTAGACTGTGGTTTGTCTCAGATAATTAGGTTCATACCAGTTTAATAAACTTGACATGGATTATTATTGAACGCAAATAAAGAGAAACTATAAGGGAATAACAACAGGATTTTTTTTTTCAAAAGCCCGCAGAAATAAACTGAGGCTTCATAGCTTGAAGTGTCATCTTTTATGAGGCTGTTGTCACTATTCAGGCCAAAGAAAACTTAAACATGCAAGGGGAGAACGTGCAGAAAGGCAGGAGTGCTACAAACACTGCCAGCATCCAGCCTGAAACAGTCAAGGTGGTAAATTATTCTCCATCTAACGGAAAAAGATGAATCTGTTTAGGCTGTCGGAGCCTCTGTATTGAAGCATTCTTTTTGAAGCTTTGCTTTCCATCAGATCATGTATATAAATCTATGTGTTTCTGTCAGCTAAGTGACAGTTCACTGACAGGACTCCACTTGTTTGGTGACATTTGATATCTGTCCCTCAGAGCCAGCCATGACAGAATGCAGCGGGAAGCCAAACGGAGATTAACGCTGGTCTATTCTGGTCCCTGCTGAGACTCACATCACATTTACAGAAAAAAAAACAGTTAAATTATTTAGTTTTGCAAACATTTTCATTTTATTATTTAATTTGATGTTATATTCCCTCTGATTAGTAGTCTATATAGAAGACATTGATTTTACACATTTAATCCACATTTTTACTAACGTTGATTTAGTCCCTCATGAGTTTTTCTTCTCCTGAAGCTTTCATTGTTTTCTCCAAGCTTTAACAACCACAGTGACATGCGAGGGCAACAACATGAGCAGCTTGTCAGGACTGATTAGTTGGGACAAAAGCTTGCTGGGAGAAATATGCCCGCTATGACGCCTGCCAGAGAACTCTGCTGACTGAAAACCCAGAAGGATCTCATAACAGCACATTTCTACATGTTTTAATAAGTTCAGAAACATGAGACCTGATGATGATCCATGTATATATTTCACTGAAGAAAATGAAGGTTGGATTACAATGTAAGATGTCGGGCTATATTAAAATTGTTGGTTGAATATAGATTTCACATTAAAAATGTTTCCATTCATATTTTTACATTTTATGTTGAAGTAATTTGTTTTCAATACTGATAGTTTAAGTGAACTATGTCTGGATCATGGGAGCGTTCCTAGTAAAGCCAGCAAAACAATGTACCAGGACTGAAATAGCCGCAGTTATTTAGCGCAAGGGTTAGGAAATGATTTGATAACCATTGTGCTTGTTATGTTGACGGAGCCATAATTCTGCTCTCTGGCTTGACTTACCTTTGCATGTGAAACATTTAATGTGGAAGTAGCTGCTCTGCACGCGCAGCGCCTCTCCTTTGCACAGTCCTCCACATCTGAAGCACTGGATGGGCTGTTTTCCTGCTGGAGGACTTGGCTGGCAGCTGTCTGGGGCATGCAGCACTGCAGGAGCAGAAGGTATAACGGGATCAATGACGTGCTGAACAGTGCATCGCCTTTATGAATTATTTATAAGAGAAATTGTCTAACTTAGAAACTTAAACTTAACAAAAAAACAACAGATTTTTACCTCTTTTAATCTGAGCTGAATCTCTCAGGATTAAGTTAGGAGTTAACTTTAGTTTCACACATAGATCATGTGAGCAAATACATAAAATACATAATTAAGGATTCAATATATTGAGGGAGCAAAGCAATCCAAAACAATGGGCGCCTAAATTATCAATTTAATCGCCCCTAAGCCGTATTACTGAGACCAAGGAGTACCAAGACCAAGACATTTAAAGGCAAAGACCAAGACCTTATATAGTATATACTGTATACACAGAAAAACTATATTAAAAACAAATATAAGGAACTAAAAACACCATATCTTATCACAAAAAGGAAACAAATGATTATAAACTCGTTGTATAAAAAAGTATAAAATAAGCTGAAAGCTGCTTGTTGAAAGATTCAATCTTTATCTAAAGCAACATCTACAAACTGGACGAATCATCAGAACATATAAAGTGATCCCAGGTCATCATACCACCTCCACCATGTTTGTCTGTTGGTTATTTTTCTTCACATAGGGCATCGGTTTTTGTGGATATATATATATATATATATATATATATATATATATATATATATATATATATATATATATATATATATATATTTTTTTTTTTATGAGTGCAACCGCTGATTATAGACTGCACTTTTTAAATGTACTTTTGTTATATTTGTTTGATGGAAACAAAATTTGTCTGATGATCTGCAATGTTTTAGTGGTAAAAAAGCAGCGGCAAAAGAACATTTCATAGCATTTTAAATATTCAAAGTACATGAAAATGAAATGAACAAAGACTGATTTCTGCAGCGATATCCTGTTTCTTCTTGCTTAAATGTTTTCTACTGTTGGCTCTGTGTACTTAAAGTAATTAGAATTCAGAACTCATCACAAATTGAACAGAATTAAAGAAGTAAAAATATATCTCTCACCTGTATAGGGTTCGTATTAATATGGGTATAAAGTGCAACTAAATTCCTTATTTTCTATTGACCAAATAACCATCAGTGCAGGAACCATTTCTGGGCCTTGACATGTTTTCTGCTGGGTTTAGGTCAAGAAATGATCAAATCTAATTGCTTTATTTCATTGGTAAAATCCATCTAATCATTTCTTAATCTAAAACCTGGGAACCACATTTATCTCTATTCTTTAATTTACTTAAAGAAATAAATCATAAGGAAATTGATCATTATTATGGGCTAAAAATGAAAATGTTTGAAGAAAGAAAAAATCCACAGACAGAAAGTAGTTGACCTCTGCACTTTAAACCTCTGAGTTCATCCTAAATTATTTTTTGACATTTAATTTAGTCTAATCCGTTCTCATTTTAAAAATCCATCAATAAAAAACATTTTTCCCCTTATGCTTCCTCAGATCTCTAACTCTACTCTGACAAATCCCATCAATCGAAGGACAAGTCGTCCCTCCTGACTGTTTGAATTGAGGATATAAACTCTCACTATGGCTCAGCCAGGTATGTAAAAATGATACATTTAAACATTTCTATCATTATTGAAAAATAATTATAAATTTTTTTTGTGTCTGTGATTCTGAGCATATCTATTTGAAATTAAATTCGTCATTAGCTAGCCAACTAGACAGCAACACATTTTAAGCGTAATTTTGATGAATAATTTATCCACATAAGAGTTCCCAAATTATTGCATACTTACTGGTGGTTAGTTTGCAAGAACAGAGCATCATGCAGTTGTATTGGCAAACCAAACAAATGTGTAAAAAGTAATGAATAAAACTATAAAAAAAAAAACAACAACCAAAACTCTGTGACATTAAGGAATTCATATATTCCCCTAAACAAAATCTGATTTAAAGCTGAATGGGAAAAGACATTTCTTGTAATATGGGGCTATTAAAAAAACTGAATTGGACTGAAAGAGAATTTTTTACATCAAGCCTGATCAAATCAAAAACGTAACTTACGCCTTTTTATTATATACTGAAGTTTTAAAATGAAACAGAATATAAATTAACGTTTTAATCGCTAATCCATGACTTCATGTTAAATACTTAATGCGACATGCTGCCAATTTTTCACTCTACAAAATTGGTTAGCCGACAGGAAATGCCACTAAAGTTGCACGGATCTCAGTAAGTGTGGTAATTGATAACAGTAATTAGCCACTGAACTAAATCTGCCACATCTACAGTTTGTTAGCAATTAAAAAAAAATTATAGATGAAAGAATAATTAGAAAAAACAAAGGAGAACTTGTAAGGGAGCTGGGCAACACAAATTCCCAGCCGTATGCTTTTCCATAAAATCCTCATGGCTGGCATTTCTCTGTTTTAATACATGAATACTTGGAACAACATTACCCAGACCTTGAAGAGCAATCATCTGACTGCATCCAGGGATCGCTTTATCCTTTTTCCAAATAAACAACCACATGGCAGTAAAGACAGTGCTTAGGATTAACAAAACTCATTCTTTCTGTCTTTATCTCTTCCACGTTCACATAGCAGCAGGACCATAGGAGGCCTTTATAATCTAATCAGTCCACTATGAAAAGACCTCAGTGTGATTAGCAGCAGAGAGAGGAGGAAAGAATGTGGTGCATGAGGAGGCATCCGGGTTGAAAGTGTGGACATCAAGAGCTCGCAGATAAGGACACTTTTACATTTTTCTATTGCAAACCCACATAAATGTCTTCCTCGGGTATAATTCACTAACAGTATCAGTGAAAAATAAACCAGTCCATCTGTATTTGTCTTCAAACAAATACAAACTAAGTTGTTGCATAAAGTAGAAATGTTTCCAGAACAGTTCGACTCTGCTTGCATTGCTGAATTTGGTGCAGGACCCCTTCGTTTGCCCGGCAACAAGGATGCAGTGCAAACTGCTTCTAATAGAAAGTTTGCTGTGAGGGGAGATTTATTTTTAAAATCTTCAAAGTCTGAAAAAGCAACTTATCACTTTTTACTGTAGAGCTGCACCTTTTGAAGATAGCAAGAGAACTTTGATTGCAGGTCTTGTGTTGAAGACTTCATACGATGCAAGCAGGCAGCAGCTCTTTATTCATGGCTTCAGACCGTGAAGCTGATCCGGTGTCAGGTATTAACAAATGTTCAATTTAGAAAGACGACAAATGGAGAGAAACCCGATAGGAGTTGCCTAATCGGCTATAAACATCAACACATATGCGTGCCTCAGGAGGGAAGGTGTCTCTACTTTTTATTTTGGGAATCTTCTCTCTGTTCATCAAATATTTTGGCTTAAATATTAGCAAAAGTATTCACACGTGAAAGGCCAAATTCTGAAAACTGCACCATGCATTTATGTCCACCTCAATTTACTATGTTACCCATCGATAACCAACATCTATTTAAAGCAAACTAATTCTAGGTTAAAAGTATACCCACTCCTCTAAGCAAATATTTGTTCAGTCAAATAGAGAGCATTTGTGAAGCTTGTTTTTTTATGCCTCAAAGTTTTAGTTGGGTTTAGATTTGGACTCTCACTAGCCCTTTCCAACAGACTGTCTTCAGCGATTGTTCTTGTTTAGCTCCACCCATTTTCTCCTTAACTCTGACCATAAAACATTTCCCAAATTAAGAAAATAATCTCCTCATCATGCCCTGCGATGGACTGGCGATCTGTGCAGGGTGTACCTTGCCTCTCGCCCGTAGACAGCTGGAGATAGGCGCCAGCACCCCTCGCGACCCCGCTTGGGATAAGTGTGACAGAAAAGGGATGGATGGATGGATCTCCTGATAATTTAGCTGCCACTACCATGCTTCACTATTGGGCTAGTGTGGTCAGCCAATGTTTTATTCCTCACCAAGTTTATTCAGGGCGAATTGTTTTGGTTACATTTTAGGCAAGCATCTTCTTCCACATGTTTACTGAATTCCCTAAGATTGGCAAAAGCCATCTTGAACAGCATAGTCCATGTTTGGACTCCTAGTGTAGAAATTATTCTTTTAGCAGGACAGTTTTTTTTTTTTTTTTTTTTGCCCTCCTGGATGCAGAACAAAGTAAACATTCATTAAAGCTTCTGTCTCATAGTGCCTGCTATGATAGCAAATCAAAAAACATACAAAATGAGTCTAAATATGAGGGAATAAATTTGTGCTCAAGGTGCAAATGTAATGGGATCAACGGTGTGAGGATCAGTGTTCAAATACACCAAGACCAGATATGTTATTTTTGCTTGTCACCTCACCTTAGCTTTATCCTTTACCTTATTTAATTAATTAATACTTAAGGATCTACTGAGCAAAGGATGATGAACCATCACTGCATCCAAAGTCCCTCCAAGTTGTCAGATTTGATATTAGCAGAACTGATCAGAAGGGAAGTCATGCAATCATTTTCAGTTTCAGCAGGCCATTGAACATCAAGTGTCTGTGCAAAACTAACATGAAAGGCTGCATTTACGTCATAAAAAACTACTACTGTCCTTGCACATTTACCCACTTGGTCAGTTTTTAATCACTGGAAGTTAGGTTTTCATTTTGATCACAGCTCAGGTAAAGAGTCCTGTAGAAGAATCTAAAGATATGGTTTAAATGGAGTCATTCTGTTGCCAAAATCCTCAAAAAAATTAAACGTTCATTCAAGGTCCTGACAAATAGCAACATTATTAGTGTTTGTTTCTGAATTATAAAACAAACTGAAAGCAAACAGAATGAAGAGACTGGAAAATGTGTAATACTGTAAACTAAAGAAATCAATACAGAGAAACTAAGTAAATAAAAGATAAACCATAAAGTTAATATTTACAGAGAACAGGTGGGAGAGTTTACCTTTGTGTTTCATGACTGCTGATCGTTGCCCCCCTGCAGCAGAGCTCAGAGCGAGAGACAAAGCAACAAACTACAGCGCAACTCCAAGGGAAAAAAGGGGGAGGTCTATAAACACACAGGGTCTGAGGGTGGGTGTTATGTGTGTGTTGTCAGCTGGAGAGATACTAAATTCTGCTGTCTGTATAATCCATGACCTCAGCCATGATGAAAAGGGAGGAAATCAAATGGCTCATCTGCTGGGAGATGTTTGGAAACGATTACCTAACTAAATCAGGCTTAATTTAAGGCTTTAGGTGAGCTATACAGTCATATTCAAAAAAATTAGAATACTATTAATATTTCTGCAACTTCACACTTCAACACACACTGATGTTTTGGAACATTTATTTCTGTTAATGGTGATTTTTTTTTTTTGTTGACAGGTAATGAAAAAAAGAAGTTACATTATTACATCAAACTAATAAAAAGAAAAATTCCTGATACAGAAATGAAGACCTAAAGATAATCAGGTTTGAACCTGCTTAAAAGTTGTTAATTTTACGAGTTACTTTAAAGCTGATAAACAAGCTTCATCAGAATGTGTATTCTGATTTATTGAATTTAACTTTAGTGATCTAATTTTTTATTATTTTGAACAAGCAGCATGACGTTCAGAGATCATTACATACCTAAAACATTTATTTTCTCAAAAATAGTTAAAATTATTTTGATCTCATAGAAGTTTTGTGTTAAAGGGGGATACAAAAATGCATTTTAGCTGTAAAAGAGAAGGTTAATGGGTCACATATATATTTATTTTGGTCACATTTAGCTAATATGTGTAGCCTTTGCAGTAGTGGTGATATAGAAAAGTTGGAAAATCCTTATTTTAAGAAGCCAGAAAACAGGTTGGAGAGTCTGGATGCTTTTTTGGCTCGTAATGAAACGCTGCACACTGCCAGTGAGCTGTCTGCAAGAAACAAACCATACATTTGCCTCACTTGCAATAAATTATCTGCCAATCAACTCCAACAAACTTCTTTGAGTCTGCCATTAAATCTGCTAATCTTATAAGAGGCCGGATGTTTAGATTGCACAAGCGCTTCTTCGCTCTGCACTTTTCCTTAACTTGAAAAGCAAAATCTACCGCTATGAAAAATATCCAGCATGATAAATAAAAAAAAATCAATTATGTAATAATAAAGAATCAAGTGTTTATTTCTGTTATTTGCTTTAAGTCTTAATGGATAAAGTTGCCAGGACAGAATGTGTTGTATGATATTAGGAGAGGTTTAAATAGCAGCAGCTTTTTTTATTGAAGATAAATACATTTTTGAGTAAGGCTGAATAATTCCTTAATTCTGATGAGGTGGCACTGACTTTGAGATTGCAGCGGTAAAAGAATCAGATGTGTGGCTGAGATTCTGCTGCTGCTAGAAAACAGAATCAGATGATTTTCTCTTAAGCCGTAATCTGCAAATACTAGAAAATCTGAATTATGTCTTTCAGTTTGAATAAAAACAAGAACTCAGACTCATGAATTTACATTATAGATTGACTATTATCAGACACTTTGGTTGACTTTTAACAAAATAAAATAAAAAATCTGATAAAGTTCAGACACAAACATCAAAGGACATCAATATATCTCTTGTACATTAGGGCCTAAATTCACCACCTTATTTCTTTGGACTATTAGTATTATTAACATTTTGAAACCATCCATCAAGAGTCTTGACTTGAATCTGATAGATTTAAAGTGGACTGTGCTAAATATAAGGGTGATGGTAAAGAGGTCCTCCAACCTGATCGCTTTAGGACTCATCATAGAAACTATATCATTAAAGTATCAGTAAAACTTTAGAAAAAGCTGAATATTCCAAATGTTTACACTGATTATTGAAAAGCTGTAAATACGTTTAAATCAATTTTTTCAAAGAATATATTTTTTAACTGATACATTTCTCTTATTTATTATTAAGAGACAATTGTCTCTTCTCCTTTAAAAGAAAAAAAAATCTTGGTTAGATGGAAATAACTTTAAACCAAAGGTTGAATAATTTGGAGCTTTACTCTATACTTTGATATTTTCAAAGGGAAAATCTGCTTAAATTCAAAACTCTTTCTTCTGTCAGAGAACCTGCAGCTTTTTTCCCTACATATGTTTAAAACAAATGCATTCAACTGGTTAGAACTCAAAATAAAGGAAAAACTGGTACAGAAAAGAAAAAATAATCGTGCATCTGTTTAGGGTTTCTAGTAAAGCTAAAACACTACAGTAATATCATACAGGTGGATAGCAGAGGTGGAAAAGCTTCAAACTGCTGATTACCTGAAACCTCTGCAGGAATCCCAGCCAGCTTTTCACAGAGGATGTAGTCCTCGGGGTTGATGAAGGGCAGCTGCTCCATCATGCACTGTTTGGGGATCAGGTAAAGCACCTCGGCCAGCTGCCCGTCCTCAATGATAGACATCCGCCTCACAGAGTTCTTCCTCTTGACCCGGTCCAGGATCACCATGTCGCTGCTGTTACCGGAGCCGCAGAGCTTTCCCAGGGAGTTGAGGGTTAGGAGGCTGGACCTGTTCATGTTTCAGCCAAACAGTCCAGACTGCAGAATGACTGTGGGTTTGGAAGCATGCAGCAGGCTGCTCTGCTGGATACCAAGTTTTTAAGCTGATCTCTGACTCTTTATCATTGTCAGTGTGTGAGTGGCTGTGTGCTTTCCATCAGGACAAAGACTAACTCCAACCACAAGTCCCCTAAGCAGATTAGGTGAGGTATATTTAGGGTTTCTCTTCACGGCAAACGGAGGTTTAAATTCTCCTGGAAGTCGAGCTCAGGTAACCCTCTCTTCCCCATTTTAGTCCCTTTACCTGATGACTGTCATGATCTAACAGTAAACAAGTGATTGACATTTCTAAGAAGATTACGACTAAATAGTACAAAATTAATGATAGGTTTAAAAATATCATACAAAACTCTAGTAGATGTCCATGTAAGCAACACTGATTGGTCGATGATTGGATTTGCTTTAAATAAACAGACAGCTGGGCAAGCAATAATTCATCTCCAGAACCATGCAATCAAATTAACAGATGAGGGTTTAGTTTTTCCTGCTTACGGCTTTAAAGCAGAGCAGATAGGACTGATCAATTTAGACACTTTCTAATTAAAGTGATGTTTCAACTCAGCTCAGATCTGCTTTGTCAACTTTTAGCTTCGCTGGAAGCTAAAACTAAACAACCATTATATAACCTTGTTTGTATTTAATTACTCTATTATTGAATGTTAAAAATAAAAAGCTCCATAAGCTATTTTTTTTTACAATCTAGGAAAGAAAAAAGCCTCCTAACATACATAGTTTTAAAGGGAAATGAGTTGGAGAAACAAAAAAAAAGCAGTCCTCCTTAAAACAGAAATGTTTATCTGGACAGTCTGGTATTTTAAGGAGTCTGCACACATGGAGGAGGAGGTGGTGGCATGATTGATGTGAAATGAAGTCATGCAGGTTTTACCTCCCACAAAATGCTACATTGACCTATTCCAGATCAGTCTCTGAGGTATTTAACATATCTTAAAAATTATTTAATCCTTATGAACTTTGAACACATCATCTTCCTTTACATGTTTACTGTGTTTGTAGTCAAACTTTTTTGGATCTCTTCTTGCCCTTCATCCATCCATCTTCTACCGTTTATTCCATCAGGGTCACGGTGGGGCCGGTGCCTATCTCCGGCAGTCTATGGGCGAGAGGCGGGGTACAGGTGGCCAGTTGGCAGCAGGGCAACACACAGACAAACAACCATACACACACGCTCACATCTAAGGTACAATTTTAAAAAGCCAATAAACCTAACAGACATGTTTTTGGACTGTGGGAGGAAGCCAGAGTACCTGAGGAGAACCTATACATGCATGGGGAGAACATGCAAACTCCATGCAGGAAGACCCGGGGCCAGAATCGAACCCACAAACTGATTCATAAAAGCCACATTCATGGATTGCATAACTAGATATTCTCCTGTCCTCGACTGCTGATAATTCTTTTAAAGTAGCTAAGGTCATTATGGCTGCATCTCTGAATAATGCTCCTCTCATCGAGCTTCTCAGTTTAGGTGGAGGATCCCGTCTTATTAAACAGAGTTCTGAGGGATGTTCAAAGCTTGAGATTTAACCTGTTTTAAACTTCTCCACAGACATATTACTGACCTGTCTGCTTCTAAGTTTCTTCTGAGACGAGAAATTGAAGGTCAGGATTTAGACCTTTTTACCCTTATTTCTAATTAGTCTGCTGTTAATCAGGGAATTAATTTCCTGCACATCATAATTATGCACTGCTTGACTTAATACTAACTAATTCTGACTTTACTCTCAGAATTCTGAATTTATTCTCATAGAATTGTGTCTACTTGTAATTTTTCTACTTTATCTAACTGATAATAATCCTTGGCTTTGGCAATAAGAGTCCTGAGTCATTTGAAAGAAATCTAAAGAGATGAGATAAAAAAAGTTTAAGGGGAGGATGTTCTTTTTCCAGGTGGATCATCAAAATAAGTGCTCTATCTAATTGTCAATCATTCTGGTGATATGTTTACGTAAGGCCGTACTACGTGCTCTTCCCCATTTTCACTTAGCGGTGGTGAGTCTGACATAGTGGAAAAATTGCTAATCTTCTTTTGGAAAGTAAACTCATATGAGCAAAGCAAACAGCAACTTTTAAACAGAGTGTGCATGAGGAGAAATGGGCTTGTGCACGCTCTCATACTCGTTTAATAGGCCTTCCCTCTCAGGTTGGGTACAGGGTTGTGCATGTGCTTTTGTTTTTGTTTTTAAAGTGGAGAGGGTGACTCCCATTAAAATGCAGCTTAGGAAGTGATAAAGTATAGACTCATATCTTACACTGCAGGAAATGGAAATCTAAGTAAGTAATTTTTTCTTAAAATAAGTGCATTTTTTCTCCAATTGAGGACAAAAGTGAGACACTTTGCCAATGGAACGAGACAATTTACATTTAAAATAAGAAAAAACAATTGCATTGTCTTATTTCAAGTTCATATTATCTAAGTATCTTATGTTAAGACTAAAGATATTAATTTCATTGGCAAATCATCATATTTACCTACTCAAATTAAGGGTAAATACACTTAATTTAAGAAATTTTTACTTATTTCTTTATCGTTTTTGCAAAGTATAACTGTAGCTTTTAAAGCCAGGAAATAAGAGGAAAGGAATATTACAAATGCTCTGAATGGCAAAGACACGGTGGATTTAAAGTGAGGCTTTAATAAAAAAAAAACATTGAGGGAGAGCAAATCACATTACCAATGGAAACATAGAGTCTTTAGTTCAGGTATAAGAAGATGTATAAGTGGTAATGCAATCGACATAAAGGACAAAAATGATCAAATAATTACAGATCAATCAATTAACTGGGCTAAAAATGACTGATTCCCTTTAAAATTTCCCCACAGAGGAGGAAAACATCTAAAACATTCAATTAAACGTACACAAGTATACTGAGTGTAAATACTGTTTGATCAGTCTGCATATTGTGACTTTCCATAGGAATTTAATGGAAATATTAATAATCCACCAATTTGACTTAGTGGGACAAAAAAATAAATAAATAAAACCCGTAATTTCACTCATTTTTCCAGGGTATTGCAGTTTAAGAAAAAAATATACTTTAGAGAAATAAACTGTGATAAGAATGGTGATCAATGATGACAAAAAGTAGCTGATTAAAGCTAAACTTTTAAAACTTGTGGCCAGAATTTAAGAAACCAGATTTAATAAAAAGATTCCAAAATTAGATAATCAAAACGAGACATGAGTGATGACAGTTGGCTGACAATCACTGTGGGGAAAAAATAAAAAATAAAGGCTAAACACAAGCCAGAGGAAGCACCTAAAATTATGATAAACACCAGATTCAAGTCCAGTAGCCCAAGTCCTTGTGCCATAATTCATCTGGATCTGCAAACAGCTAATGCAGGGGTCTGCAACCTTTACAATCTAAGGAGTCCAGATGATAAAAGTCGTTTAGAGCCAGAAATATTATATATCCTTTAGAACAAAAACATTTTATTACTTTTGTGTTAAAAAGTCTGATAGAGTAAATCTGTTGCCATTTCAAACAACCAACAGCTCATCTGTACTTTTAGTTTTTTAAATAAAGAAAAAAACAGAAAAAAATCCAAAATCTCCAAGCAAATGACAAGAAAAGCAGATCCAATAACATGTTTCTGGTTCTTTTAATGTCATTTTGTGGAGAAAATGCAATCAAATTATCTTTAAAGGAGACTGCTGTTTGTTATCATATTGCATTAGTTACTTTATATCATTTCAAGCCACTATTAAAACCACTGCAGAGGTTACAAAGACTCCTGCAGACAACTGCGCTAATCGATCCACGGTGAAGTATGAAATACTCTGCTCAAAAATGACCTTCTAGTCTTTAAAAAAGATGTTTCTGTTCCTGTGGAACATTTACAGGCCTTAATATGGTGAATGATGCGTCATAGGCTGGGTCAGTGACTAATGGTACCTTAATGGCTCCATCAGTGGGATTCTGCCTAATACTTATAAAGTTGATCCTATCAACCCATGCTCACATCTGAAGAGACGTTTTAGAGAAAAAATCCACAAGAATTAGGAGAAGTTTGGCTTCCGTCTGTTTAGGATCACAGGGTGTGGTCAGTGGGTGGTCTACGGACCTCATAGAGCATGTTGATGTGAGAGATGCTTCAGTATAGTTCACCATTTTCTCCCTTAGCATTCAGTTTCAAAGGTACTTGAAATCATCTTCCTGGTTTTTAGTGGAAACTCACAGATTCTGCTAATCCCACTGATAAAGATTAGCATTAATGAAATGAAAACAATCCTCTAAATATTTAGTGCAATGGTTTCAAACTCCTGCAACCTTTACATATGATTCTGCTTCATCAACCCCTGATTTAATAGCGGAGCTTGGCTGATGCTAATGAGGTAGTTTAGCCATTTGATTCATGTCTGAAGTTTCAGGGGAACATCTAAAAATGCAGGAAAAAGATTCTTTAAGGATTTGAGTTTAAGGTCATTGATGAAGAGAAAATTCAGAATGCCTAAAATTATAAATTCATGCTGATTTAATGCATGATGGCAGTATTTGCATTATTACATTTGTCCATTAGTTAAAAAAACTTTAGTGATGTGATGTAGATTTAAAAAATGCAAATTAAGATTACATTTAATGATGTTTTTGAAGAAATTGAGCCACCTAGTGGCCAAGTTGCAGATAATTGAGCTTGTTACAAATAAAAACACCTGAAAAAGGGGAACTAAGGTGGAATCTGTATAAAAAAAGAGTTAAAATAGTAAAAACATTGCCTGGAGGGACAATTTAGATTAACTGTTTAATCCCCACAATATTAATGCTTTCCTCTCATTTTAACCAAAATAAAAACATAACTATAAGATCTTCCAGTCCAGTAACTGCATCCCTTTCTGTCCAAAATAACACCTAAAAAATTTAAGTTAAAAAAGTCTCAATGTTTTTCTGATAAAATTGCACTTTTGATTTTAAAAATCAATTTATGAAACAGGTGGAAAAATGCAACCTGCTCTTCCAGAGCCTTTCCATTTCTATAAACTGGTGTTGCAGCAAAAAGGTCCAAATAAAGAAGTAGTTTGTCTTAGAAACTGTGATCTGGGAAACAGCAGCTTGCAGTCTTTCATTTTGAGACACGGTTTGGCAAAAGACCTCATGAATTGATGGAATGAGGTGTGACATTGGAGCCATCAGCCTCGCGTTGCTCTTCCTCCTCCTGACCGCGGGTGAGCGGTTCTCGCTCCGAGTCTCCCTCTGTCTGCCCTGATCTCTTGGTTGTCTTGTTCAGAGTGCCACCCTGCAGAAACATTCAAATAAAACATGTCAGTACTGCGCTGCAGGATCTGTAAGACGGCCCACAGAGATGTCTGACCTGTCTGTGGTCAACGAAGTTGAGCAGCACAGACGTCACGATGCAGCAGATGGTGTTGGCCAACATGAAGATCATCATCCTCTGCCAGCGCCAGAGTGGGATCTTAGCTTCACTAGAAGAGAACGATTGATAAATCTGAGCAGCAATAAACAGCAAAGAGCTTCTAAAATAAAATATTTTAATACCTTGATTTTGTGCCCAAAATCTGTCCGACAATCAGATTGGAGACCCCGATCCCCACCATCTGTATGGAGGTGGCCAGGCCCATGGCTGTTCCCAGTGTGGCCTGAGGCACCACCAGGGGGATGGAAGGCCACATGCTGGCCTGGATCACAGCAAAGAGGCAAACCATGAATGGGAAAGCAAATAAAAACACTCAGCAGACTTCAAACCTATTTTTACGTTAAAACAAATATTTTTCATCCTTTTAGAGGGATTTTATAAATAGGAATCTTTAAAACTGTTGCATTAATTTTCTATTCGGTCACCTTTAATAAGATTTCCCTTAATAAAATTGACTGAAGACGAGTTTCTGCTTCTTTTTCAAAGAAAAAAAAGGTAAAAGGACTTATATCCCCCATTTACACTACCCTTGAAAAACCGATCCATGCCGAGACCGGTCCGAGCTCGGCCTGGTTAACTGATCCGAGCTCGGACCTGACGACCGTTTAAACATCACGCTATCTCGGTTCCTCGCCTCCTAGTGACGACCTGCGGTATTACTGCCAGTATTGAAGGAGGAAATCAAGCAGTTGGTGGCAGCAATGCACCAAAAGTTGTTTGCCAACCACCATAAAACACAAGAAGAAGAGGACGAAGAAGGAGGGAATCAAGCAAATCAAAATGGCGGCGCCCGTCACATTCCGAAAGTTATGCTTGATTATTATTGCTGTACTTCGGTGTTTGCGGAGGGTCAGGCGAAGACGGCAACCTTTCGTTGATGTTTATAGTTGTTGTTCTTCTTCTGTTTTGTGTTGGTTGGCAAGCAACTTCCGGAGGGGCATTAGCGCCAACCAGAGATGGGAAGTAACGAAGTACAAATACTTCGTTACTGTACTCAAGTAGATTTTTCTGATATTTTTACTTTACTTTACTACTTATTTTTATGGCGACTTTTTACTTCTACTCCTTACATTTTTACACAAATATCTGTACTTTCTACTCCTTACATTTTAAAAAATTGGCTCGTTACTTTAGTTTTGAATCATTTCAATGGAGTTACCGTTATTATTTTTCACGTCATCAATACCAAATTCAATCTAATTGGATGGGAATCTACGTTGCATTTGACGCACCACTACAAGATGAATCGACAGATTCGGCGGTATTAATTGGCGGCAAATCATTGCAGCTTGGTGGTGGTGGCGTTAGCATAGTAGCATGGACGACGAGATGATTGAAAATGAACACAACGGAGATCTAGTCCTATTGGCAGACATCCATTTAAAATGTAGGCAACGGCATGAAAAAAGTGGCTTCTACTTTTACTTTTATACTTTAAGTAAATTTACAAGCCTGTACTTTGTTACTTTTACTTGAGTAAAGAAGTTTAATCAGTACTTCCACTTTTACCAGAGTATTTTTTAACACAAGTATCTGTACTTTTACTCAAGTACGGAAAGTGAGTACTTTTGCCATCTCTGGCGCCAACTACTGGAATGGAGTGTGAATCGGGATGTGCAGCCAGATGGAGATGACACGTTCTGCTCATGCGCTCTTTATATCAGAGAACCGAGCCAGGGAAAAACCGAGCCGAGCCCACCTCTGGAACTTGTCTGCAGTTAGCTCAGTTCGGTTGTGTCTAGCTCGGTTCAGTTCAGTTTGCTTTCCATTTACACACCATAAGTTATCTCAGTTACTGAGCTCGGACCGGTCTCGGCACGGTTTTTCAAGGGTAGTGTAAATGGGGTAATAGCTGTAGTTTTTGTAAAGCTTTACAAACTATTTATTCAGAGGGGATGAAAACAAGTGCAAGCCACACCTTTCAGATTTTAAGTCATAGGCTTCTTTTTAGTCTTTGAAAGGTAAAAAGTGAGCTTGTTTGATGCTCCTCCTTGTCCAGATGAGGCTCAGAAAATTCATTATCAACGTCTTTTTGAGCTACTTGAAATGAGACAGATAGCCGTTGTCTGTTTAACGTAATGACTTGAATAATTTACCATATTTATCGTAAGGAGAGGAAACATAGAAAGCAACCTGAGTTGTTTTATCAGTAACAGAAGAGGTAGAAATATTTGACAATTAATCAAAACGGGTTCACACTCACAGCAGCAAAGGAGTAGGTGACTCCCAGCCATATAGTAGAGACCAGAGGAGGGACAAAGGTGAACGCCAGGAGTCCAAAGACGGGCAGCGTGAAGATGGCGCAGGCCACGGCAAAAACCCCTCGAAGTCCCACATAGTCCTAAAATCACAGCAAGTTCAAAGCACCCAAATTGACTTCTGCGCAGATTCAAGACAAAGCAGGTGAGGAAGCCAGTAGCTCACGATGAGAATGCCCACGCTGGCTGAGAGAACCAGTGAGCTGTCGTACACCGCCCCCGCAATGTAGGCCGCCTCCTTCTGACTGTAGTCGCTGTATTTATCCTGAATGAACTTGCTGCACAGGAAAAAGACAAACAAATCATCCTGGGTCAGACATAAGAATGTCTTTGTGTTAGCAGTCGGTTTGCAGCGTCTTTTTAAAACAGAATGAACTAACTGTACCTGGCGTCTGCAATGAATGGGAAAATGCCATTATAGAAGAACATGATGGTGAGGACCAGCAGCCAGTATCTGAGAGACAACAGCTTCACATCCTGGACCCTCTGCACATAAACACAGGAAATAACACAAACATTTCACATGCAGTCATTATACGATGAAGGTTATAAGTTTAACATGTTTTAAACACTATTTTCCCCCTCATTCTGGACACTGATCTCTGTCTTCTTAAGGCCTACAAACATAATAATATCAGGCTAAATATTGGTAGCTTTATACTGAGGGTCTGCTTTAATGTCAGTAGGACTGGTGCCTTGCAAAAAGTGTCAGGAAAAGATAAATATTTCTCCAAATTAACCTGATATTATAAGCTGGAAAGTTGAAACCTAATGAGTGTTTTAACAGACGACTGCCACCGGACTCTAATATCAATTTTTTAGGAAACGCATGTCTATAAGCCTTTGAAGTTATATAATTTTGACCTCAGATGCATTTTGCTTCACTTGTGCAGCCAATTTTAGTTTTTTTAAATTCAGCAAAGATGGATACTGTTTCATCATTCTTTCCTAAACATGTGCACTTTCACATAGGGGCCAACAGGGGCCCCTGTAGAACTAAAACCACAAAATAGATCCTTTGGAACAATTTCCTTAATTTTGCAGCTTTACTTGAATGATGATGTTGCACTTTTATCTTTATTCATATTGAGATAGGATCACAGTTTTTATCTGCTTTATCTGAGACTTTAGTGCAGCAAATGGCTATTTGGTTCACTTAATACTCCCAATAATGAACTATTTCCATGTTTTTTGTTTTGTTCTTTTGTTGATGCCTTTATAGAACGGCTACTGTCCCCAAATATAAAAATGGTTTAATTAAATCATTGAAAGCTCAACGATTCTCCTGTTTTCTGTACGCATTGGTGTGAACGAGGGAGACTGACCACTTTGCGGGACTCCTCTCTGATGGCTCCATCCAGGCCAAGCTGTTTCATTCCGACCTTGTCCAGGGCGCTCACTATAATCGCAGAAACAAAGCCAAGAACGCACAGCAGCGCTCCTAGAATACAGAAAGAAAAAAAAAAAAGCAGTCATGTGGAGACAGGAAAACATGTTCACAGGTGGTCATTCAGGTTTGTTTCAACGTACCACCCCAGAGTGTCCACTGCATGCCATATTTTTCTTCAAATTTCTGTGTGAGGAAGAAATTTAGAACCGAACCCAGACGGGAAAAGGCCAGAGTCAAACCGAAAGCCAGAGCCAGCTCCTTCCCTTTGAACCAGAACGCTGTGATGCGGTTCTGTACAACTTAAAAGAACACAGGAGATGTAAAGAAGGCTGTAGGAACTTTTCTCATAGATGAGATTATAAGATTCGTGTATATATATATATCCCTTACTGGTCAAAGATCCATTGCCTGAACCAAATAATAAACGTCCTGTAAGCATGAGTGGAAGGAGGTAGGGAGTTCCTCTGAAGTGGGAACCGAGGGCAAACAGAGATGAGCCCAGAACACAGAGAAAAGAGAAGAGAAACACCCCGACTGCAAAACACAACGGTATACATTGTTACCTTTTGTCTTCTGTGTCATGACACAGGTTAATCAATGCATGCAAACTCACATCGATTTCCTAATTTGTCAATCAGGAACCCTGCCATAATCACCACGACTGCATTTCTGGTAATCAAAAGGAGATACGGTCACTGACTTGGAAAACATCTTATCGCCACATGTGCAAACGAGTCAATGTGGAGATCTGCTTACGTCCAAGCATATATGGCGTAGAGCAGGTTGTACTGCTGAGGACTCATCCCCAGGCCCTCCACACAGTCCACAGTCCCATTGATCAGTGTTACATTGGGACACGTGAGGTTCTGCAACATGAGACAAGCCAGTGATAAAGCGCTCTGTGTTAAATATGCGACAAGTATTAATCCTGTGCATGAACTAAAGCTGCTTTTCCTCACTGCCATTATCTTACCCCTTGAAATTGATCCTGTAAGACACTGGGGATGTCAAAGCAGAAGTAAGATCCAAATGTCAGCAGGCAGTTAAAGAAGAGGACCATGAAGCGGTAATAGGCTGGAAAAAAGATAAACAGAAAAACAAAATAATAAATAGTAAAAACAACATAATGAGCACTGCTAAGTTGATTCACAACCCTTAAACTTTTCTAGACATTGTCCTATAATAAAAAAAATCTGATTTTTTAAAGTAGACTTAAAGTGGTTAAGGAGCAGCTTATTTGTAATAATAATAATAATAATAATAATAATAATATTAATAATAATAAACTGAATTTAAAAATGTAGAATTTTACTTCCACTTTACAGTTATGCCCTGATTATGAGACGGTCCATAACAATCAGCTAACTTTATAATAATCCATAATGCTTTTTTATCCACCAACACAACTAGATTGAATCAGTTTGAAGCTGTTTATGTTTCATGACCCATAAAAAAAAATAAAAAAAAGTAAAGTTCTGTTTTATAGTTTCTCTATTAATGGGAATGTAGGCCTATTCATTTTAAATAAATATATAGATTGTGATTAATCGACTTTTGAAATAATTGTTAACTAATTTAGTAATCGATTAATCATTAACTCGAGTGTAGAGACTCTAAATCATGCCTTTAGCTCACAAAGCAACCCACTTAGAGCTGTACTTTTACCAAGATTGTAAAAAATATATAAATATTTTGCATTTAAGATAAAAAAAACCTTTTTTGTTTGTCAGTATGCTCTATCCAGAACTCCTCAAGTGGAAAAGTTTGAGTTTCACCTGGTTTAACTTGGTAAAAAGTCTTTTTTAAGGAATCATTTGCTAAACGATTATTAATCAATTATCCAAAAAATCTGTCTAGAGATTAATCGATTTTCAAAAATAATTATTAGACCCTCTACAATCCAGTTGACGATCAAGATATTATATATGGAAAATTACATAAAAAAAATGACTTTAAAATATAGTCCATTAGTGTCTTCCTGTAGATGAAGTGTTATACTAATATTGTGTGCAAACATAAGAAAACTGCATCAGCTACCATTTTATTACCTCTTTATTTAAAAACATTGGTTCTTTTTTTAGATGACATATTGAAAGCAATTTCTTAAAAACAGAAAGTTAAGGTGCATGAATAGTTTTGGTGAAGCATTTTCTGTGTAATCCATTAAAGCAACATAAGTATGGGGGGAAAAAATGACATTAGATTAATATAAAAGTCTTCACGCATGTTAGTTATTAAGATTAGGTTTTTTATATCCATGGTAGATTGTCTGGAGAATAAGAAACTAAATATTTATGATTATTAATACAATAATTTCGCTTATAAATGACACGAAATTTCGTTTTTGTAGACATTTTATTCATTTAACTTGCTTTATTGTTGTTGTTTTGTTTTTTTACCGAATAGCAGAAAAGCTGCTTTACTAACAGAAGGATTATAAAGAAAAGTATATACTATATCACTTCCGGTCAAGTCACGTGTTTTTAAAGGCTAAAATGCTGAGTGACCCTTTTTACAGGGAAGTGTTTTTGTGGTCCTCTGGGCTACGAGTCGCTGCGGTTCAGGGTAAAAACACAATAAATATGAAAAATAGGAAGAAAAATAATGAACAAGACTCACCTTTTTCGGCTGGTTGAGCCATACTGTCAGGAAATGTATCTGTTAGAGAGAGAATAATGCTTCACATCCTATAAAACGTCTGCAGACTACTGCTGCTGGGAAAAACAAAAAAAAAAAGTCTACAACAGGAGACGTCTGCAAACCACAGATCCTAAAGTAATGTGGATGGAACTGTTAGCTTAGATAGCACCGCTGGTGACGCAACGCACAACTTGGAAATCCACACTGACGTTCTTTTTTGACTGATTGAAACTTTATTGACAAAACATAAACAACATTGCAGATTTATTTGATTGAAACGGCAATAATAATGATGATGATGATGATGATGATAATAATAAACTATTAATAATGTTAGTAAAATAATCTATCAACTTATTCGGATTTTAAAAAGTCCTACAAAATGTTTTATATATTTGAAATCTGTACATAAACCTAAAACAAATTTCATATTAAGGGTTGATGGCAATATGATTACACATGAAAATTTCTGAGAATATTTTAATAATCCCATGATACATAGGGATATTTAATAATATAAACTGACTGATTATAAGCTATTAAACAAATGTAGTTTTTAGCTAAAGCGGTCCTGGGGAATTCTGAGAATAAAGACAGATTTATGTGATTAAAGTCAAAATTTTGAGAAAAAAGTCAGAATTCTGAAAAAAGGTCAGAATTCCGAGATTAAAGTCAGAATTCTAAAATTACAGTCAGAATTATGAGATTAGAGTCAGAATTCTGAGATTAAAGACAGAATTCTGACTTTTTTTTCTCATATTATACTTAGATAAAATTTAAAAATCAGTTACATAAAAAAAATCCAGTGGCCCCCATCCTCTTCTGTATTACGTACATAGTCTGAAAAAAAGATTTTAAAATAACATTTTAATGTAAACCTGCTAATTAACTGTAAGAATGAATGAAGAATGAATTAGATCACCGCTCTCAGACTGGATCCAGGGAACAGCCGGTGTCTAATCTGCTTTGTGATCCACTTGGTGAGAGAAGCTGGTGGCTCCCTCCCACCTCCTTCTGCTACTTCTAATGAACTACATCTAATCTTCCATTCCGTTTATTCATTTTAAAGTTTTTATTTCCAAATGTACAAAATAACATAAAAATAACATAAAAACAAATATATGTATCGCGTTCAGGACTTTTGTCCCTCTGCGGACACCGTCGCAGTTACACAAACAGAGCTCCGTATCTCGGATGTTTCCCGTAAATTTCAGCTCACAGGTTGAGTTTTCCCGGTAAACATGAGATGTCTGTCCTGCGCAGAGCCAAGGCGTGGGAAATCTCTGAATCTGAGGACAGCGATCATGAAATAAAACCACTTTCAACCCGCGATGCGAGCTTTAAAAAAGAAACTAAAGACAGTAGAGGAGATCAGGAGGTTGAGAGCTCAGCAGAAAGCCCAATAAACCAGCCGGCATCACCTGCAACAACAGAGCCCAGGGTCACTTTACCTTCTCTGCGTCCAGAGGCGCCTGATGGAGGCGGCACAGCGAGCCCTGCAAGAAAACGCCGCAGCAAGGAGGAGATGGAGGCGGACAGACTTAGAGCCAAGGAGAGGAAGGAGGAGAAGGAGAGACAGAGGGCTGCGAAGGCAAAGGAGAAGGAGGAGAGGAAGCAGGAGCAGCTGAGGAGGAAAGAGGCCGCAGAAAACCTAAAGAGTCTCCGGCCAGAGAACTGCATCAAGAGCCTGACTGTTTGCATAGAACCAGGTGTTAAACCTTTGCTTTCACTCTCATCCTGCATGTTTCACAGATGCACATCCTGCTTTTACATTTATTTATTAACTGAATTATAATGTGACCTTTGACCTCTGTAGCTCTTCTGCAACAGGATGGCTCAGATATCTTGCTGGACACCTTGGCCATGTTGGAGTGGAGGTTCACTGTTGAGAGCCAACATGTTTGTGGGAGCATCACCTGGACCAGAGCTTTGCCTCAGGTGGGACCCCCCCTCATGCCTCGCTGTGAAAGCGCCTTTGCACTCACTGGTTTTCAGCCTGTGGATCACTGCTCGGTTCTCAGCAGGGAGAAAACGCTCAGGCCTGTGTGGAGGAGGAGCAGATGGTTCTGGTCCTGACTCTGGATGACTTTGTGGACGTCGTGATGTCAGTTAAAAATGTAATCAAACTGTTGAAACTCTTCATGATAACACAATAGGGATGTCTGTGGTTTTATATTGACTTCCTGTGCACTACAGGTGGTGGACGGTGAAGGGGAGGAGACGGGGATGGGGACTGTCCTCAGTCCTCTTTGGGAGTGTCTAAATCGGAATCCCAATATGGTGGTCACTATGTTGGTGATGGACTTTGAGTCGGATCACTGGTCAGTATGTAGACATCCTTTGGCACCTCTGTGCTGAACATTTTAATCTCCTCCTGGAGTGTTTTAGCCTCATTTTGAAACATTTTAAGACACCTGATCTTTAATTTAAACTCAAATCAGAAGAAAATTACATTTACCAACTTATTTTTCCAGCAGGACAGAATTATAAGATTAAAGCTAACAGAGAGACACATCTGGGTCTGCAATCTTTTATATTCTAAGAGCCATTTTGCAAAATGTGACATGACTTTTAAATAAAGCACAACCTGTTATTTTTGTTAAATATCTGTTCTAGGAAAACTATTTGTATTTTTAACAGTTTGTGTAAACATTATTGGTTTCTCAACAGGACCACAGAGTCTGGAGATTGTTTCTCAGAACAGATGCTACAGAGCAAACTGGGGATGAGGAATCAGGACTTGGAGGAGGTTCGTTTGCAATATTTAACTGTTAACTTTTCCCTTTCTTTCCAGTTCCTTCACTCTGAGCTCATAAATATTCACCAGTGTGAACCATTTCTAGGTGCTTGTGTACCTGCAGCTCTACAAAAACATCTCAGTGGTTTTTCTGGCCAGCTGGAAAGACGTGACTGATCACGTGTGTGCCGTAACCAAGGCTCTATCAAAACGCCCCTTCAAGTGGGTTCCCTCATCTTTTTACCATTTCCTCCATAATTGTGTAAACAAAGTATAATCTTATTCTATTTACGTGACCCCTACAGACTCCTGACTGAGGCATCAGAGCTGCCGTTCTGCGTGGATGGCTCATGGGCCAGTGGGGCCCGGGTGGAGAGGGACGGCTCCGGCCTGAGGGACGTCTGGAACAGGCAGATCCAGCAGCTGAACAGAGTTAGCCCGGCAGTGGCCTCTGCTGTGGCAGAGTCGTTTCCATCTCCTCAGCTCCTGCTGCAGGTAACCTGTAGCTGAAAGCAAGATTGGATTCTGCAGAAAGCTCAAGGGTGTCATAATACGTAGTTTTTGTGTTTGCATGTACTGACTTAAGGCGTACCAGAACTTGGGATCGGAGGTGGAGAAGAAGGGAATGCTGGCTGGACTCTCAGTGAAAACAGAAGGCAAAGAAAGAAGGATTGGACCAGACATTTCAGCCAGAATCTACCGCTGCCTGACAGCAGAGAACCCTCAGCTGGTCCTGGACTGATCTGCCTAACTTCAGAAAAAAAACACTATCATGGCATTTATGACTTAAAGTTAAATGTTAACAATTTAACTGCAATTATGCGTGTAAATAAAGCTAATAAATTTTATTTTTATAAAGCAAAGCTATTCTTTTAACACAATTCCTCAGTCTTTATGTTTAACGGCGATTTGAGGCAAAAGGAACACAAACAAATGCTGCAGCTTGAAATGTGAGGAATTACATTTTGCTGAAGTCTCCTATAATCTGATTTATTTTCGGTTCTGAGTAAATGAGCAGCAGGGATGTTCCAATTTTTCCTTTCTACTTTATTATAACAGTTTTTTTTATTCTTCCCTAAAGTCTCAATGTGGCTCAAGGTGCACAGCATTAATATTAAACAGGTAAAGGGTTATTTATAAACACTGAGAATAGAAAAATCAAGTATAAATTTCATTTTTGGATTTATTTCACAGGATGGTAAGAAAATTCACAATCAGATATGAAGCAATAAATAGAAAAACAGTATCTGCACACATCTGATCTTTCACTTCAAAGGTAGGTAAAAATAAAAAACACTTATAAAAAGATTGTTACAGTATTAAAAAGAAGTTCTTCTCTTAGAGTCCATCCCTGAGAATAATCAGAAAGTTTTCCTCCCTGGTTTTTGGAGTCTGGTCTGCCTCTTCCAAAGGCATCAACTGTGGCGTTTGAAATATAAAACAAAAAATAACCTAATTATAAACGTGATATGTTGAATAAGACAAATTGGCTAAAATAGCGTTAGGGGCTTCACTTTTTCCTGCCTCCGGACTTAGGATGTTTAGAGGGAAACAGGAACACTGATGCTGCTGTTAACTGCATGCAGAAACTGCAGCGAGCAAACATTGATGGCAATGGTAGGAAAAGTGTGGACCAACCAATCGGGTCACGTCCAGCGGCATCTTTTGCACTGATAATCTTCCGGATCGGAGCAGCAGCTGTCATAGTCGCTGCTTGGAGGAGTCGGAGGACAGTGGCAGACTGTGGAGTGGTTCTGAGAAGAGGTGTTGCAGGGGCAGTGGTACTCTGGGGCTGTTTCAGAATAAGGGTCTGCGCAGGCACATGGGCTGAGGCACGGGCTCGAAGGCTGGCTCCTCTGCTTGTGCGTGTCCCGCCTGAAGGAGTCAGGTATGTAGTCCTCCTCCTCTGATGAGTCAGGGCTGCTACTGAGGGCGAACACCCAGCCAAGCCGGTTCTGGAGGACCGTCCGTAGGCCTGGTGGCAGCTGCAGGGCATTGACTACATCTGGACAACAGGGCAACCACCTGCGCAGCCGGGCACAGCAGAGGTACTGCAGGGAGGTGGGCGTGTAGCTGGCGCAGATCACCTTCATGCTGCTCTTAGCTGCCGTGGAGCACACCATGGGGTAGAACTTCTTGCTCTGCAGCCTGGTAGCAGCAACACCTGTTAGCAGGAAGTTAAGGCAGGTTTATTTATAAAGCACCATACACTGCACATGGTGATACAAGATGCTTTATGGGACAAAGAGATTAGATCACAAAAAATGGATCTGAGGCAAAAAGACTAAACAATCTAATATCTCACAAACAGAATAAATATATGTTCATAATAGTATTGAAACCTATGACATTAAAAATTAGAGCATTGTTTGTGCTGACGGATGAATGTTGTATAAAGTCGGGTTTAAAAAATAAAAAATAAAAAAACAAGCGCTAAATGGTGGAAACTGTAAATTTTATACCAGTCTTATGTTTACATTTGATCACTGCTGCAGTTTAAAAACTGAAATGTGTTGAGAGCTGTACTAAACAAAATGTATTTTTGTATACACTGTCTTTACAAAATGACAATAAAGTCTGTCAAAGTCTAAGTAAGTTCCAGCCAGACAGATTTTAAACAAACTCATTGATTGTAGTGGACTATGGACACTAAAATATTAAGTTGTGTATCATCAGGATACATATCAGTGTTTTTCCTGTCGTTATATTGGAAGGCCCCCCTTCAATGACCCCATTCAACCCCTCTAATCAGTCAAGTTGATAGTTAGAATAGAATTCAACTTTATTGTCATTACACTGTCACAAGTACAAAGCAATAAAATGAAGTTTACATTTATATGTGCACAGAAAGCTATGCATGTATAAATGGTATATATAAACAGAGAGCTATAAAATACATTATACAGGAAAGTTAGGAGATGTGTTGGATCCATAGGTTAGATTACATGATGTATTTCCTAACTTACAGATATAGAAGATCTTTAAGGGACCAGTCTGAGTACTGTGGTGAAAAAGCAGAAGATATATCTGCATAAAGACAAACCTACCTATGCAATGCCGGTTCTTGTAGAAGGTCAGCGTGCCGTGCCATGTGTCCAAATGAACTCCTATGATTGAGCCTTGACCAAACCGAGGGGAAAATTTCACTTTGTCTCCTTTGTGTTGGAGTAGACCTTCAAACACAAACATTATTTTTGATTTAAAAGCACAGAAAGTAAAAAAAAAAAAAGAAAAAAAAATATATCAGTTACTTTCACAAAGTTGACTCTAACCTGTGTATGAGAGCCCCCAGCTGTCTTCATCGTGGCCCAGCAGGCTTCCAAAGCTGTATTTAAACTTGTCTAAGTTCACTTCAGAAGTTCCAACCCCCACCATCTACAGAGGAAAACAAAAGTCCAAATGAGAAAGGAGATAAAAAAAAAAAAGTAAACACCAAGCTGATGGTGTTTACTTGTTTGTGAATAATAATAAGTGCTGGGATTCTTTCTATTGTCAAAAGTTGAATAGGCAGGTATTAAGGGCGAATAAGGAAAAAATTGAAGATATTTATTCACTGTAATACAGCATTTGATTTGCTTCTAGGATTACAGATATTGTTCTTACTGGATCAAATAAAACTGAAGTGATTATTATTATTTTTTTTTTATAAACCATTCAAGCCTGAATTAGGTCGCATAAAAGTAACATACCTCTGTAATAATTGTCACATGCAACAGCAATTGATTTAGCAATTTTGGAGAGTGGAGCTTGAGCTTTACTAGTAAGGGCCGTCAAGATACACTCAGGTGGATTGGAAAAGTATTCATATACCGTCACATGAAAACCTTTAGGCATTTCATTATAGTTCTAGCTCACTGACCAAACATAAATCAGAGCAATAGAAGAAAATAAGGGATTTTCAAGTTTCCATTAGTTTCCCTTAATTAAATGTAGTTCAACCAATAATTTAAGAGATTTTTTTTTTTATCAGCATCAAATTTTAAAACCTATATCATTCATCACTGAAAGACACTTAAAAAAACAAAATCTATGATAGTGCAGCAGGAAAATTACAGCTTTTCTGACGGAACAAGTATTTAATCCAGAGAAAAGCTGTTGGTGAAATAAAGTAACAGAAGTCTAGTTTGCAAGAGAAAGAAAAAAAACAGACTAAAATATAACAAGAGATTAAACTGAAACCTAACAACACCCTGAACACACTATCCTGATGGGTAAACATGGTGGTGGCTGCAATATGCTGTGGACATATCTATCTTCACCAGGGACAGAGGTATGGAGGACCAACTCTGCCATGTTTAAAAATGAATACAGAAATAAATAAATGCTCAATAAATAAATAAGCATTCAATTAATTGCCCAAATGTATAATAAACGAATAAATATAGGTAGAAATTAAATTATACACTGAGACATAAATGCATATATCTCTTTTAATTAGCTTCTTTTTCAATTCGCTTTCGTATCATTACCCTCTAGAAGTTGACCTTCTAAGACACACCCCTCCTCATTTACATAATGAGACAGAAATGCAGACAGAAATGTAAAAACAACAGGCAGAAATAAATGGCATTGAAGAAATAAAGAGGGTAAAAAGATACAAAGGAAGAATAAAACAGACAAAAATATATCATGAACATAAATAAATTTAAAAAAAGTAAATAAATACAGTTGAAGATTATAACAGACAATAAATAAATAAGGTAATTATTACAAAGGCGAATAAATAAAGAAGCTGATTAAAAGAGATAAATACATTTATGTCTCTGTATAATTTAATTTTTACCTACATTTATTTGTTGATTGTATTTTTGGGGGTGATTTATTGAATGCTTATTTATTTATTTATTTATTATATTCATTTCTGTATTTATTTTTAAATATGGCAGAGTTGGTCCTCCATACTGGGAAGCTGATCACAGATAAATAGATGAATAGAGCTAAAATTGGAACAATTCTGGTAGGAAATCTGTTAGAGTTTGCAAAAGTCTAGAAACAAGAACTAAACTCCAGTCAAAGCGCAGACCTAAAACAATCTGAAAATCTGTTAATTAATATTTACAGATGTTTTTTTTATCCCATCTGACTAAGCATGTCCAGAGCTGGAAGGGATCAAGACAAAAATACAAATGCATTAATGTAGGTTTCCTTCTCCAGCCACTTCATAGCTGGAGTATGCAAGTCTATCACAGAAAATCCATATGGAGACTGTGGAATACGACTAAAATGCAAAGATCCAAGTCATGTGAAAAGCTTTGCAAGGCATTATAAAAAGAAGGCAGGTTCAGATTTTAAGCAGCTTAAGGAAACTGACCACGTCCGTTCCATAGACAGGAGAAGTCATCTTCACTTCCCAGTAGTGCTGGCCCTCCGACAGCTCCCTGGTTCCTCGGATGGCAGCGGTGCCGCAGCTGTAGTCCGAGTGGAAGCTCACCTTCCTGTTGTCGCAGCTGAGGGAGGCTCCAGAAGACTTACAGTGCTCGTCCCACACCCAGTCAAACACTGAGAAAACAAGCACAATGTGTTTTATTTCACAGGTTGCACAAACTTGCTACCAGTTCAGTCCTGCAGTGGATGCAGGAAGAGGTCTTGCTACCAACCACAGAAAACATGTCAACGAATATCAATGAGGAGAAATCAACCGGTGGGCTAAAACATTAATGTAGTGTTAAAGTTTAAGTTCTTTGTTTTTTTAGTACATGGTTAATGAATGCATTAACTGCAACTTTTAACCAGGAAGCCCATAGGTTAAACATGCT